TCGCTATATAGCAACAAAATCATAACTGAAGTTTCGGAGTTCACAGATCTACCTACTTGCATAAAATCAAGTCTTTCACAGTTGCCTGCAAGGAAATTTGACTTAGGCGTATAAAATATAATGCTTGGGCTTGAATATTTGAAAGTTGGGATACTCGGCCTCGTTTGGCCGACATCCCTTCTCATCTATATAACATTTTCCTTTCCCTGTCTCACTCCTAGGTGAGTGCTGCCTGCCATGTTCGTAATCGTCATGCTCACTTATTTCCCCATCGCCTCAGTTCGGTTGATCATTTGCAAAAATCTATGAAAATTTTCAAAATCATTTACTTCCCTTTGCCAACTCCCAGCTCCTTAGCTCATTTGCGAAAAGTAGATAAAATCGGCACTGTTAGACAACGAAAAGTAGCCTGCGACACCCGTCCCGCCCTGATGTATGTGTGCAAAGTCTGGTCCGGATCGGTTCAGAAGTAAGAATTTCATTTCGGAACATACTTCAGACAGATACACAAGAAACAGACATCCAGTTTATATGACTAATCCTTAGCAAGCCAGATCTTTGACGCATGCCTCTTAGATGAGCCAATGCTACACCTTCCAAAGGGGACAAAATACCTCTCATAAAACTTTTTTGGAGCAGGCAAGATGCTTCCGCCAAAGCAGAATAGATACCTTCGAAGCGACACTCGATTCTATCCGTACACTGATCGTCTTCTAACTTCAAAAATTTTTGTTTACCTCAATGTCTCTTGTTGAAAGCTGAGGTTTTTTTCTTGAAAATATCAATTTGTGATCTATACACTCTATAGAATTTTCTCTCATGGCGGGCGGAAGTGGCACCATCACCTAAACCTGTCACCAGTAACTTTGCTAATCACCATACATTCTTTATACTTGACATATAAATAGTGGAGTAAAGAAATTCTTTGCTTTTGGTTGGATAGGATTACGTATAGTTAGAAATGAGATTTATGAACTTCCAAGCAAGGTAGTCAAAACGTTCAGCCTGGTAATTGAGAAGCTGTTTTGATGGAGAGGGGAGGGGGTGGAAGGCTCAAAAAACTGTTGTGTATAAGCAACAGCGGTTTTTTCTGTTAGATGAAATACCGCCCGTAATTTGTGAAAAAAACAGCGCACTCCGCTGGACTTTACTGAACTCTGCGTTGCATTGGCCGATCTTGCTTCAGAGTGGACGGATTATGTATTCAAAACATTCAACTCAGCTCGACATGCATCTTCTGATATATGAAAGTTGCTGTTTGGACACAACAGTCGGTCAAATTTCAATGATGTTTCCAAATTTTCGCTTGCGGTTATGCGAAAAAAGCACGCTGAGCAACATAACATGAGCAAGAATCTGGGAGGATTCTTGGAATTCGACCGAATCCGTGCCCAAACAGTTACTTCTGTATATCAAAAGACCTCGTCGAGCTGAGTTGAGTGGTGCTTTTGGATTCAGAATTAGTTCTGTGTGAAGCAAGGTATGGCAATGCGATGCGAAGTCGGCGAACTCGGGCAGAATGCGGTCATTTTGTTCATAAATTACGGCAATGTGTCACCCTTTTTGGACTAGAATTCGCCAATGTTACATGCCTTTTGTTTTTCTCTTATTATTTTTGGTTCCGAACTGAAAATTTTGACAAGATAGCAAGTTGCTTCCGATTAGATGATTGATTTGCGCGTTGTTTTGGAATTGACATATCACAAATGTATTACTGGGTTGCAAGTCTAAAAAAATTGTAGTCAGCCAAATATATCGAGCAGTTTTGAGATATTTGATCATCACTCTCTGAAATGGAGGAAAGCCTTCTCAGGATTAGAGCAAGCACTGCTCCGCTGAATTCGTAAATGCCTGAGCGTAACACGCTGTGCGCCAAAGCTGACCTTTTGCAAAATTTTCAGCTCTGCTTGAGCAAGCAGTTAGCCTAAAGTACAAACTGCTAAATGCTAAAGACTTTACAAAAAGTATAGTTTGGGAGCATTTAGGCCTGCGGCTAAGAGAACTTTGCTGCTGTGAATGCTTTCGTGAATTTAAATAACTCATTCTTGGTGCCAAGGGCACAAAGAATGAGCTTTTTTTAAATTCACAAAATGCTCACCGATTTGTTCGTTTCTTTTTCAACAAAGCTGCTCACAAAAGTTTGATGAGTTTTGGTGAGTGCTAGGATTACAGAAAAAGTCAAAATTTTGATGTGCATGTGAGAGTCACAGAAAAGTCAACTCTGTTCATCGTTTTTTTTTCGTTCAAGTTCATCGTTCTGTAGACTTGTGTAACATCGTCTTTCCCTCTTCCTGTATTCCTGGTTTTCCCAGAATCCTCTCCATCCTCTAGTGTGCACTATTTTTATTTCTAAGCACAAGAAATCGTTAACATGCGTTTTTTTGCGCCTGTAGATAAGAAAAAAATAGGCAAACATCTCTTAAGAAAAAACGCAAATATTTCTGCGACTTAAGTACATGTCTTGAACAAAAAAAGCGGAGACAGTTCGTCGAAGTAAAGGGAAAGAGAACTACTGCTAACGATGTCATTACTGGTAAATTTTACCATCTGGCAGCGTTGAACTTTTTTCGAGACATAAAATTATAGGTAGCTCATCAAATTTGCTTCTTGCAAAGTTTATGCAAATGATAATCGGTTTGAATTCCGTCTATCTAACCTGTTTGCTACCAGAGTGTTTTCTGAAACAAGTGAATTGCATAGTTGCTTTTTTACTCTTTGAGGTAATCTAGCGTTATTTGCATCTGAGGTGGAACCAGTTCTCATTGCAAAACCGGCTTTCGGTAAGAGCCTAATTTCACTGCGAAGTTATAACCTCCGGTTTCTACATAACCGTCATGCACAGCATGTATGCCATTTTTATTGAATTTCTTCATATATAAAAGCCTGATTTCAAAAGAAACAAACTGCCAAACAACTGCTTCTCTGGATATTTTTTCGCTCAATTGTGACTGTTGCTCTAATGGAGTAACTCAATGTTGAAAGGGTATCTGTGATAAAAAGAACTTTTTTCATTCTCCGTATACAAAATTAGACATTTTTAACTTGATCATGAGTTCTGCTCTACCTTTCTCATTCACTTTGTGGTTTCCAGTGACCAGTTGTCCGTTTTCATACCCATCATAGTATTATGCGCCGTAATGCAGCTTCACTTTTCGCCTCACGGAGGGGTCTCACGGTCATAGCATTCTATGCCACAATCGTTTATATTCATTTTATTGCTAGCATGGATTACAACTCTCTAGTCCGAATGAAATGGCTCGAAAGCTCAACTCTTTAGTTTGCACGATGTTGCTTAAAGATTACTTTTTTTGAATGAAGTTGCATGGACTGAGGAGCTGTATCCCGTCCTTTATTCTGGGTTACCACTCTTTTCTTGCGTTGTACTCAACTTTTGGTACAACGAAGTAGAAAATCTATATTCGTTGGAAAACTGTTTTCTTTGCAAAACTAGTAAGTATTTCTATTAGGTTGATGCATAATTCCTGCACCAAAATAGGTACAGACCGCAATAATCCGCAATAATCTTATATACCGAATAGGAATCGATATATTATTAGATAGAGCAAACCTAGCTCTACAAGATAGTGGTTGAAGATTTGCAGCAGCTTTGATCCAAGCGAAGATTGAAGCCAAAAACGAAAAAGATCCAAGCGCCCCGAAAAACCAAGAAAAAATTGGAAGTCCATTCAGAAAAATCCTTAAAATTTCCTAACATGCTCATGCGTTATCATTTCGTATAAGACATTTCTCTATGCAGTTGCTGTATTATTCTCTCAGCTAGAAATTGAGAAAACGAAGTTTTTCATGTTTTTCCCAAAACAATGCTGAGACGTTCTAGCACTGACAGTTGTATACTATAGGACCTGCAACCGCATAGGTAAATGTCTTACGCTGAATGTCTACGCGTGAGCAAGAAAGAAATTTTGTAGGAGCTTTTTGAACCAAGTTACAATTTTGTTTTGATTGGTCTTAAGATTTCCCAACGCATGGTTTTTTTCAGTTTTCGGCTCAAAACTTCGCGTGGATCAAAGCTGGTGCAGATATTTGAGCACTATCTTGTAGAGCTAGGTCTGCTCTATCTAATGATATATCGAATCCTATTTGGGATCTAGGATTATTCCGGATTATTGCGGTCTGTACCTATTTTGGTGCAGGAATTATGCATCAACCTAATATTTGAGATTAGGATGGGAGAACGGCACTCGCAACTCTTGCAACATAACATTTGATTTAACTGGCTTGGCGGCTGGAAGGTGGGGCTTTGTAAACTGGTCAAGGCCGTTCGGACCCGCGACGCAGTCTGCGTCTCTCCCGCGCGCGTGCTCTCTGATCATTACCTAGCCTTCATCGGACACGAAGCCCTTCCAACCGCCGAGCCAGTTGAATCAAAGAGTAGATCTTTTTTTACGAAGAATTTTGATTTTTTTTTGGATGTAAGACCGTAGGCTCAAAACATGTCGAAAGCATTATCTAAATAACGGTGATAATAATACTAAAACTTTTTGACGTATTTTGTTCGGTCAGTACACGCTTTTATTCTGAAGGACTGTATTATCATCGTGCAAGAAACCCAGTAGATTGCCACCTTTGCTTTCCCTCAAAAACCCATTTCAACCAGATATCTGCTACCGTTTTTTCCTTTGCTACGTACCTGAAAGGTTGTACATGTAATTTAGCTCCATTGATTCTCAAAGTTATAGTACTTTGCAAGGAATGAATCAGTTTCAATAAAACTAACTGGATTCTGCTTAGTCTGTCGTTCTGCGAAACCTATACCAGCGCTTCAACAACAAAACCTTTGAAACCTAGCTATCTTTGGTAGCAATGTCCTAATTATCAATCAGCCCACCCCCATCAGTGCTAAGATTTGGGGCATTTATTGAAAAAGCGTCAAGCACGAATGCTAATCACGCTCCAGTGTGCATATGTACGTATGTCTTGCATACATACGTGGCTGTATGTGAAGGGAGAAACACATCCTTCATTTTGAATGTTTTTTCATGCACATTTCGTATCCTTTGCTAGATTTTCTGCCAGTGGCAAATGTGGCGTTTGCGCTGCTCCATGGTTACAGAGGTAGCTCATAAACATTCACAAGTTTCCAAGACACGGCACATAACAATTTTTCTGAATGTGTTGGACGTAGCTATGAGATTGATTTTAGTTCTTATAAACTTATGAAAATTCTACTCTCATCAAAAATTATTTAATATGAGTTTTTTAACCTTTTTTGTAACTTCATCTCTTCTGAGCGACTTTTTTCCTTTGCAAAGCAGTTCCGCGGTTAGTTGTCTATGACCAGAGGAAAAAATATGCTAGAATGTACCACGTTTCTAGGAAAAAATGGCCAATCATCCAATCAAAACCTTTTTTTTTTCGCAGAGTTTCAATACATACTTTCTATTTTTTTTTTGAACCTGAGCCTTCGATCACGTACTTTACGACTTGTAATTTCCATGATTTCATCAGTGTCTACTAGTATGTTTTTGATAAAGGAAATTTTTGAGACGCATCCAATTTAGTGGCATTCAAATGTGCAAAGGAGCAGACAATAAACTACCTCTTCATCACAATAAAATGTTAGTTTGGAAGTCAAAAAAGTATGAGGAAACTTTCTGAGTAAAGGCATCCTTTTTGGAATCAATGATAAACATTTCAAAAACTTTTGCAGTCGCATGACACCGAATTAAGCTATTTTTCGAGAATATTCGCAAAACATGCGAAGTTAGCATGAAACGAAAGTTTCTTATGTGGTGCCGATATGTCATGCTTCGTCAACAAGATTTCCAGGAAATGGCAACATTGTGGGAGTGTTTGCTAAAGGTTTCTTGTTTGCTTTCCTGGAGAAAAAACATGTACAAAACTGAAAAGAAAATCCTTGACGAGATTCATCATTTCGGAGAACCATCCTTTCAGTCGCAGGGCTTGTTTTGTTTTCTTTCGTTTGCGTTAATCTCTCCAGTGAGCCTATCAAAATCTATTTTTGGGGTTTATCTTTTCATATGTCATGACATCATTGTTCTTTATTTATGTAAAAGGTTATGAGTTTCTTCAGCTCGATCTCATACGTTATTTTGTTCTATTTTCTTTCCTCATTGCTAGTTCAGTCTTGTCTCGTAACTTTGAAATTGTAATAATCGTGCGGTACAATTTCCTCATTTGATTTCATTGTTAAGTAGCCAAATTCATATTTTCCTTATGTAAAAATCCAATGCTTATTTCGCAATAAAGCAAATTCCTTTTTCATTAATCTCTTGTTTTTCCACCCATTTCAATACAGCTGTAATCAGCACGAGGAGAAGGTAGAACAGCACAAGATTTTTGCCTTTGGAAATCTCTCAATATAGGGAATCTCAACCAATTTTTCAGGCATGGAAAGCTTTTTCTTCGTTTGTTCCCTAGAAATTTTGAGCCACAAATTTATCGCAGTGATATCGGATTATCAAGCCGGGTTTCATAGAAATTGAATAGAGCAAATACCGTTACACTTCCTCGCGGAAAGTCAAGTTTTTTGAGAGCTGAACGACAAGCTATGCCAAAAAAAGGAACGAATAGCTTCGATTTTCATTTTTTTCGCAAGGAGATGAGGAAACGAACGAAATCTTTGAAAAAGTTTCTTTCTAGGACAGCCTAGTGTTTTGCTTAGGATATCCTTCTCAAGGAATGATGGCGTGTACCAAATTCGGACTTTTTTCTTAGTTGTGTTTTCTTCGTTTTTCGCCTTCCTCAAAGCCAGTAAGGGACTCAGCCTCGTTCAAGCGGAAAATTGCCCTATAAGGCACCTAAGTGAGTGCCAGCATCTGCCATTCATCGCCTCATCGTGCATGTTATTCAGCAATTTGTCATTGCTTTCGCCTTCGAATTGATTTTCATCGATTCTAGAGCCTTATGCCATACTCCCTGTCAATTTCCTCATTGGAAAGCAGATTTATTTGCGTTTTCAGACGTTCTGGATCGTTCGGCGTGGCCTGCTCTTGGCAGGCCCCTAGGATGGGGCGATGATTCCACGACGGGTGCTATACCTGGTAGATCCTATGATACTTATTCATACAGTATGATTCCGCCTCCTGCAGAAATTCCATCAGTACTGCATAATCCGCCGGACTACGGTATGCCACAGGTATGTTATTCACGATTTGAAAATACGCTTCGCTTCGACATTTTTTTAATAAAAACTCATCTTATACGAGTAGGACACAGTCGTCACGATAGCTACTTCATTTCCTTCTGGCTTAGAATGAAGTCCTCAAGCAACTGTTTACTGATTAACATTATTAGTGTCCAAGCTTCTTATTGACTCTTGCTTTTAATCCGCTCTTTTAATGCAAAATTGACGTCATTATGACAAAACCTATCCCTTATATGGGGGGCCATATCTTGCCGTTGAAACCGAGTTCCCTAAGTGAATGAAAGTTGATTCCATAGCTATTTTGAAACTAACATAAGCCAAATAATATCAATCTACTGAGAATGAGAATTTTTAAATCTCGTAATAATACGTACCATTCAAAGTAGGAAGTAGCTATGTCTGGGGCAAATGTCAGACATTGAAACTTGTTCAACTGCATGACACACTAGCTGGTCCGGTTATTTTTCGTTATGGATTGCAGATTTTTAGAGTCAATCAAAGATCTCCCGCGTTTTAGAACCACATTCACGTACGCAAACAATTTTTTTTGTTTTTTCAAGGTTAAGCCATAAATCGCCATGGTTTGATTTTTTGGATCGCGCATGCAGTTTATGTTATACACACCTTTTACATCTGTTTGAAGAATTCACAATAAACGATTCTATATGAACTGCATATATTAGGTCGTTCCGAAAGTAATGTCGCTTTTTTCAAATGAACGCCACATTTCATGGAATCAAGATCTTCAAGAGATCTTAGAAGCGTTCGATGCAGCATTTCATTCTCTTTCTAATGGTTATGAAGTTGTTGCAACTCAATCAATGAGCTTACAGAAAAGAGTCAAAATCTGCGACCTATGCTTTTTGAAATGACCAGGTTTCACAATTTTTCTAAAATTTTATAACGAACCTCAGAAGGAGTCCAAGTAATGGATGGATGGAGCAAACCCTACAGAAAACACCACAACTTTTTTCCACTTTTCAGAGCTCGTCATGATTTTTGTACAGATTTTTTGATGGAACCACCAAATTTTAGCAGGTTCGTCTCAGACACAAGTGCATAAAACGGCAATAAGTCTTCGGATTTTGAAACTTACAAAGATGGATTATGGTTTGGCAACAATTTTACAAACCAAACGAGCATTCACCGCTTCGGTTTAGCAACTTTCGAAAATTTCGGGTACACCTTGGGGTGCCTTGGAAAAGTTGAATTATGATGATATTAACCCGGAAAACTCAATGAATCGGAAACAAAAAACAACCGCTAGAAAGAGGAGAAAAAGCTGCATCGAATGACACCCGAGTCGCTTGCCGGTTGTTGTTCTGTGAGGTTTGACTTGACTAAATATGAAATTTGATGGCATTGAGAAATTGATTGTAGAAACTCTGAGAAGCAAGCTAAGGGAAAGAAAAAATTACTCTGTATTCTATAGTGTTTGCTCTATCTACCTGCCACTTGTACTTTTTCGGAGATTAGGTACAAAAATTTAGAAAAATAGCCGAACTTGACCATGGCAAAAAGCATGAGTCGCAGATTTTGGTAATTTTTCGAGAGCTCATTGAGCATTATGCAGTGAAATTAGAGCCATTAGAAAGAAGATGAAATGCTGCATCGAATGCTCCTAGGATCTCTTAGAAATCCTAGGAGCAACAGGAGTTGATTCCACGGATAGTGGCGTTCATTCGAAAAAAGCGACATTACTTTCGGAACGACCTAATATTTTTGGGTTACTGAATAGGTGCACATAAGCCAGCTATCAGCCTTGTATTGTATCTTACAATGTATCATGAGTTTTCTCAAAAGTGCTTTCCATAAAATCTTTAAAATTGCATTTTTATGCAGGCATAAGTTTCTAATTGATAGTAAGTAGGTCAAACCAATCACTGAACTTCCTAGACTAATGAGACCTTTTAATGCCTTCCTGAACTCAGCGTACAATTTGCAGAAAGAATAGTTTCAGCTTGGTTGTGCGCGACATTTCAACACTGATTTCACTTTTGTTAAAAAACGCATTTTTCATTACACCAAAATTTCTCATGCAAATAGATCCTGATTGTTAATAACTCTGTTGTAATGAGTCTTTCGATAAGCTTTGAGTATCGTTTTGTAAAGCTGGCTTCAAGTTCGATTTGCAGTATGGAGCGAGTAAAAATCTATATGCACTACTGTAGGAGCACGGTAGGAACTTGCAGCATATGTCGCCACTGTGAAAATGGCCGATTGGAAAAAAAAATTTCAAAAAAAAATCTGAAAAATTGTGTAACAAGGTTCCCATGCAGGCTCACTACATAACTTTCTGCGTGTTCGCAAAGCTTTCTGACTAGCTTGAACAAATTTTTGACGGATATCAAAAATCGGTCGTTATGTTATATCTGGCATAACTTATGAGAGAAGCGTTACGGTAAAGTGCGAGCTTCATCTTTGACGTAAGAGTTTTCGCTTTTTCAGTCCTTTTCCAGAGGTAAAAAATGACTTTCAATGTCGCAAAACCCTCTTCAAAGTTTCTACCGTAATCCTACCGTAGAGAAAAGAGAACGGTAATTCTCTCTATATCGCAAATCTAAGTTAAAGCCAGCTCTACAAAATGCTACTCAAAGTTTTTCAAAAAAATCCAAGACAGGAAAGTAATTAACGATTAAAGAGTAGGCACAGTTTTTTTGGGACACCTTGTATAGCAAATCTTGTTTTTTTGCTGTTTTTTCGTGAAAAATTTCTTTGTGGCTCCAACAGACTTGGACATAGACTTACGACACGACAGAATCATTGAGTCATTGCAGAGCCGATATGGTCTTGGTGAGTACGGATCGGCATTCAGTGCCGTTCAGCCTCGAGCCTCGTCGTCGTACGAGCCGTACGACATCGCACAGGCTCCAACTCCGACTCCTGCACCGGCACCGCGAGGTGGAAGCGCAGGACCGAGTCGATACGGGTATCCCTCCACTTCCGGACGTAAAACGCTCACTAGGTGGGCTATTTTATGTATAAAATAAAATGTTTTGGAACTATGATATTAGGTCGTAACATAAGTTTCTTTACGCTTAGTGGATGATTATGGCGAATTCACACATGCTGACAAATCGTGATGCAAAGAAGATGCTTTTAGTTTTTCGTGTTTTCACACTAACCGGTTTCGGGGCTTAGAACTATACCGGTAACGTAGCTTCCTTGGTGCCCTTCATCAGTAGTTCCCAAGTCTCAAACGCTGAGGGAAGCCAAAAAAATGAAAAGAAAAGAAGCCTTTTTCGTCTTTAGAACTCTGGAAATTTCAAAGTACCATGTCTGGTATGTGTGAGAAAAGATAAAAGGGCTATCCAATGGCACTTCCATCTCCATAGACATGAATTACACTGAATATAAGAACAATCATGTGAAGACTGTTCAAATTCATTTTTTCTTTCCCTCGCAAGAATTCTCTCATTTCCCTACACTTTGTTAGATTTATAGAGTTTCGAGAGTTTCACTGCTAATACGCAAGCAGTTTGAAAGTATAAGCACTCCGACACCGGTTGAAAAATAATCAAAATATTAGGAAGGAATGTAAAATTGAATTTTTCATGTGTGTAATTTGAAAAGCTACACCCTAGGTAAGGTAATGAAGAAATGTTTGCAAGGAAGTTATAGGAAGTTTTTCTTCAAGTAACAAAACTTCTAATATAACGTATAGCAACAAAATTGAGTCCATCTGTTTGTAATGTTGAGCGCAAGGGGCCTTGAACAAATTTTTAGTGGTTGACCAAAGGAGGGAGAGAGACGACTCGCGCTAAACTTGAAAGTACAATAACAAGTTATGTTATATTAGTGGGTTAGGGTCAGGCAAACTCATTCTACAGTAAGATTACGGTGATTTTGTGTTGGGTTTGGACTAGGGATCATCTTGAGCTGCGTTCTTCTTAAATTTCGTCATGCGACGTTGTTTTTTGCGCATTGACGTGCAATAATTCTTGGCAAAATCTGCCTCTAAAATAATACCCAATCGCAGTGACGTCGACAGTAGCTATATGGCGAGCGTGGGCACCACCAGCAATCTTCTCAAAAGGGGCGTGCTATTTGCGACGCCTTATTCGAAAATCTTCTGGAGAAACTTCTTAACTTTATCATCGTAGCGCTCAGAACACATAGGCTCGTGGTGCTACTCCGGTTATCGAAAAGTTTCCGCTGTAGAGATTAATATCCTCAAAAATTGAATTTTTTTGGATATTTACACCTAAGTAGATGTGGTCTGTTTCATCACTCACTTTGACGAATTTTACGAGTCTTCGAAATTAACACCCAGAAGATGATGTTATTGAAAAAACATTCTCTCTGAGTTTTTCCAAAAGTGAAACGTTTGAAAAATAAAGCAAAATGTTTTTTGTTTTTCTAGCAGACGTGGAGTACCATTCGATAGAGCATAGCAAGCTCTACAAGATTTTCACCAAAGAATTACTGAATTTTGCAAAAAGAACCCTACGAGGCTCTGAATTGGTCGTCATAGAAGATACATGGTAGTATCCATAAATGCATTTACTGAATTTTTTTGCGCATATAATTCGCAAAAAGAAAGTCCAAAATGGCAGACTCGGCCCCTAGCTCCACCCATGTGTATGATTGTCTCCTGCAAGCTTCAGTATATATAATCTTGAATATATGTCCTTAGCTCCTATAATCGAGAAATACCAAGACCAACATAAAAAACCGAAAAGTGGCACTATTTCACTTTGGGACTATTGATTCTCAGTTCTGAGCCGCGAAAAAAAAATCCAGCGAATGTATCTATGAGTATCACTATGTGTCTACTGTATAAGGACCAAGTTGGCGGTTCCTAGGAACTTATTGGGAGGAGATCTAATTTTTGAAGCAGCTGAAAAATTTTCACGTTGTGGCTCCAAACTTAATACGGTTTACGATTTAATTGGATCTTCGGTGGTCAATATGTAGAGCTTGCTTACTCTATCGAATGGTACCCTACGTCTGCTAAAAAACGAAAACAGCTTGACTTTTTTAGAGAGATAGTTTACTTGCTATACACTATCCACTAAGCTGACTGAAAAAAAAACTCTCGTTTTCTCCCTTTTACGTTATGTAGGCAGTATGACCCTGTAACATCAAATGAGGCAAACACAGTTCACTTTTCCCATTCCATGCCTCGATGCCGCCACGTTCTAAGAATTCCTCTACGCCCCAAATACGCACCAGCTAGGAATTCTCATTAGTAACTGCATTAGAGTTGTGTGCCTGCGAGAATTGGTTTTGGCAGCGATTGCAAAAAGGGTGTTTATCGCCAGCGTACTAGCTGTCACCGATTTTGCAAGTCTCCCTTGTTGACTTCCCATGCATTCAAATCATTTTATAGACAACACCGCTCCATGGACACTATGGGACCACTGGAGTCGGATATGGGCATGTCTGGCCAGGATGGCCCGCTAGCGATCGCTACGAATTTCCCCTCGCATCAGGTATAACTGCTGTTTGTCTTGCCACATATTAAAATTCCCTCATGAGGGAATGCTCACGAAGTAATTCTCGCTTATTTCAAACCAGCTACAGTCGAGTAGATTTTGCGCTTAAGATACTGCACAGCAGGAGAAAAATGCGGTAAAATTTGCGCGTGAACAGACTCCACGCCACTAATGTCGACATTCTGCCGCGCAGTTGGCCGGCATCACAGGCGTAGCTATCTATTTGTTCATGCTCAAATTTTGCCGCATTCTACCTGCAGTGCAAGCAATCATAAGCGAAAATCTACTCAACTAATACCTCCTCTACCAGGCATACACCTGGTATGGTCCCTGGGTAATAGAGATTCTGAAGTTCAAGCGCTTTTTGCAAGCGATCCTGCCAATTTTGGCTGACTGAACTGATAGCAAATTCCTTCTTAGGCCCCGGACAGACTTCACGCGATTTGATCGTCGCGATTTCCATTCATTTCCATTTTACATTCAGAAATTTCGGGCTGGAAAAGTATCACAACCGAATGCAAGTTGATTGGCATGGAATGATGTTGTAACAGTTGTCTTCCCGCGATTCAATCGCGACGATCAAATCGCGTGAAGTCTGTCCGGGGCCTTAAGTGATATTCTATGAGATATTATTTTTATGGAATACATAATTGAATACATCATACAAAAAAACCTTAATATGAGTTTGATCCGGAGGTTGGTTATCCACCCGTATATTCGGATTGGACCCGGGTTTTGGAATATTCAGTTCTAATTTGGATTTGAAAGTCCAACTTACAGCATCGCTTTAAACGGCTTGAAAGGCCTCTCTGTTAGTAATATGAAAGTCCACGCTATGCTTTGCCTAAACACTGCTTTCAAATGGCTAAGAGCAGCTCGAGAGTGGCTGAAGGCAATTTTCTGGACGTATAGTGGTCATACTATTCAGCCGAGGGTGATGGAATTAGCTGGAACCCTGCTGTACCACGGCAAAAAAAATAAGCACTTTAGCTCTGTCAAGATAGGCACGCGTCATATGTACTTGAACAGCTTGATCCGCTTCGCTTTGGTCACTTCGATATGACCAATAGCGAAGTGGATGAAGTGGATCAAGCGGATCAAGCGGATCAAGTGTATATATGGCGTGTGCCATAAATTTGAGTCGGCTGTTGCGTGCACTAACTGCAACTGCGGAAGTCATAACAGCTTGGAAAAGTTTGAAGTCCAAAATCTACAATATCGTGCTTTTTATGACTGTGTAAGATCGGCTTCCAGATTCATGTAGAGGCGGGCTTTTCCTGACTATAAGGGTAAACTCGTTACCTCCGCGTTTATACCATTGTTTTTCGTACTCCCTTGTTCATCAAAGTTACGCTTTGAGCTGTCATGACTTCGGTCTGTACGAATCGTGGAGCCAATGATGCCGCAAAACTTTATTTGGTTGGTTTATTTTTGCAAATTGACTACATAATCTTTCACATTATTTTTGATCAGTTTATTAATTGCTATATGCAGCAGTAATACATGCTCTTCTACCTCGTGAGACTTTCTTCTCCATGATTATATCGCCCCAGTAACTACAGTGCATTTGTAAGTTTTAGAGCAGTGGTCTTCATGGTACATATCGCGCACCTCTATCAAATCCAACATCGACAAGTCAAAATTACTGGAGCAACATAGGGAGGTTCGTCGTCTTCTTCTTTCAGTGTTTATACATGTTTTTATTTATTTTCAAAGTGTCTTTGTCATTCTATCTGCTTTTCATTCATACGCGTTTCAAATCGAATTATTCAGTCATGTTTCAATTACTATCCTTTCAACTTGTGATCTTGGCTAGGTTATTGGGTTCAAAAAGTGTGCGTGGTTTCCTTGTATATGAACCATGTTGTAGTGTAGATCCATAAACCTACAGTATGCTGGTTCTTCAGCAACGGGGCAAAACTGCTCTTTTTGCAATAAGTCCAGGAAAAATGCCTCTTTTTGCCGTATTGTGATTTTTTGATTTCCCGGCGCTCGCAATTACATCTATGCAAGGCTAGGTGAAGAAGTTTTTCGCATGAAGGGAGTATGTACTAGCGTAATTAGTATGCGCGATCGATTCTCGCGTCTAGGCGTTTTTAGAGGAATGATTGCCGGTTCTGTCTTGCGCTGACACAGCATATCTATCACTGTCCTAAACCTTCGAAAGAACCTAAACATATCGCTTTTGGTTAGTGCAGCATGATTGAAAACCCTGTGAGATAATCTATGCAATAATTCCGCTTTCAGACATGAATAATGCATATGCTAATGGCGCAATTTGTTTATTTTCATTTTCATTTCTAGAGCTTTCCACCGTTAGCCGCTTGTTCTGCTTAGCATAGAATCGATGTGCTTTTATAAACACAGGTGTAATGATGCAAACCGGATTTAGCGCATGAGATACTTTCACTTTTTCAAATTTGGTAGCATATATTGCAGTGAGACGCTTAGCACCTTTAATTTATTGGGATGTTTTAGATCTCGATATCTCGTTAATTCTCCGCTTATCTGCCATGTTCAGGCGGATAAGCAAAAAATATATTGTTTATATTTAGCACGGAGCAGTTCACGGGTTCCACCCATTTCTCTGCCGCATATTGCTATATTCTTGGAACCGGGCGCAGTGACATATTGAGATTTTGCACATGCACTTTTCGTACACATTTTCTGAGGTCGCTCTGTTGGCCTAGAATATTGACTTCACAAAACAAACAGGCCTTTTTTGCAGAGAGCTTGTTTCATCAGTGTGCTTATCCCTGTTTGAAGCGGAGGAATTCGCCTGGGCTTGTTAGTTAGAAGACTGTAGCCCTTGTGTTCGCCGAGCAAGGTCGTTTAGTTCACTTTTTTTCTTTTATCTAGACGATATAAATCGCTGCTCGGATACATTGCGAAACTCACGGTTGGGAAATTCACAATTGGCTAGAAGGTGCCTTGAATTATCTGCCCGTTGGAGTCTCATATCGTCTCCTTATTGCTGTTGAAAAATTGCGAGAATTGCCACTGAGGGCTTGCGAAACTCTCATGCTCGTCTTTTCTTCTGCTATTATATAAAATATCCGTTAAGCTCGAACTCCTATCTAACCTTATGCTTGATATGCGTTAATATGGCCGTTTTTTAGTAGATCACTTTATAGAATGGCGCAGTATTCCGACGTTGGTGCTGGGAGTGCCGGGCGATTGCCGGGCTTAACGCTTTCAGCCGAGTATGAGCAGCTCAAAGCTGATTACCAAGCAAGTGTAGAGAAGCTAAATCAAACGATGAATTCAATAAAAACCTTTTGGAGCCCAGAGCTGAAGGTATGTGTATTCACATATTTGGTTGGCCTGGAATGCTTGATTGCAGCGCGAGAGGCAAATGAGAAGAGAAGTAGAACGATTACTGCAAACGGCTGGACCTAGCTCGGGTGTGTCACAGGATGGTCAGTACGGTTCGTTCTCTTTGATTCTCGTGCTACTGGAATGGCTGTATTATGAAATTTATCAAACTTATTCGTAGATAATGTAATTTCAATTATTCTAGCTCATCTCCGTATGGAGATTGCAGCTCGTGACGAGAAGATTAGGCAACTGAATACAATGCTTGATGAGGGTATGACGGGTAACTCGAGTCTAGCAGAAATGAGAATCCGCGAGCTCGAGGATGTCGTTTCTCAGCTACAAGAAATGCTGAAGAGCAACGAACAGCAAATGTTAACCCAAGTGGTATGTTAGCATCTTTTATTGCTGACATGCGGGCAACAAATCTTCTTAGGAACCGAGTGGTCGTTTTGCTCTCGAGAACGCATTGCGCATTGCTGATGATAGAGTAAGCGTTATAGCCTGCTATTATTATTTTATTAGTTTTTTTTAACATTCACTCTTCCACATTTCAGGCTTCTAAGTGCTTTGATGTTTATAGTAGACTCCTTGCTTCAGTAGTATCCCAACTTTCTCGTTCTCGTATATATTTTCTCTGGCTTATTCATTTTGAACACAAGTTTTTGGATAAGATTGTGCCTCTTTACTTCTTGCCTTTCAGTCATATATAACTCATATATGCTCCAACCGTGTTAGCATCTTGTTAGGCGATTTCTTCGTTGATGGATTTGCTCTAAGCACCACTTTTTCTAGCAAGCACGGATAAATGAACTTCAAGAAGAGCTTTCTCGTCTTCGTATAGCCAGGGCAGGGCAACCTCGAGACTTCACCGACAAGAGCGTCACAAGTCATGAGATGGTATGGTAACTTTTTTTGGAGCAGGATTTATCTGATCAAGAAAGTGTACATGGAGTGATCCACGGAAGATTTTAGGTCACTCTTCGCATGAAAATGGAGCGGTCGGAAGTGGAGCTTAGCGAAAGAAAAGCGGAATTGGCTCAGTGTCAAGCACGAATGAGGACTGCGGAAGAGCAAGCAGCCGATCTACGGCAGCACGTTCAGTTGCTGAAAGAGCAAATAACAAATCGTGAACAACAACATACGCTTCTTCAAGGCGATGTAAGTTGTAGCTTTCATGGCAATAAGTCATTTGTGATCCACTCGGTGCAGGTCTTTTACCAGCATATATCTTGGAGGTTTGAAAATAACTGGCCTCAAAAAATTCCAGAATTTCCATGTCAATTATGACATTCGCTTGTTGTGAGAATTATATTTCTCACTTTCAGGTTGATGCTCTCAGATCCAAACTGGAAGGAAAGAATCAGCAGATGGAACAACGCGATCAGCGTATAGATCGGTTAGAAAAGGACTTGGCAAATGCGAAGGGTGAAGTCAGCGAAAAGCATGAGCAGGTCCGTCGTACTGTTAGAACCTTTCTATTAATAAATAATTCATTCCACTCAGCTACCCTTACTTTAGATCCAACAGTTGGATCATCGAATATCTCAGATGATGGGACGTATTGATGGACTAGAAACATCGCTCAGAGATAAGGAGGCAGAGCTCGATAAAGCAAAAGTTAGTTGTGATGCTTCTCTTTCCTTCAGCAAGTTTTTTTTTTTTTCGTATATTTTCGCATTTTACGTCTATTTTGAGTTTAACATATTGGTATGAGAATCTGTCTTATTCTCATTATCAAATAGATTTGAATGTTGGTTTACTGTGAAGCAAAAAAAACTTTTTAGATCCGGCTTCTTAGTCATCCTGATGTCATCAAGGAAAAGGAGTTCAAGGAGAAGATTGATACATGTAAGACATATATTCATCGCCTATATGCTCGTTTTGAATTGCTTTCTAGTAACGATTGAAAAACAACGCATGCAAGATCACATCGATCAGCTGCGACGGAACTCCGAGAAGGAACGACTCGAGCAGCAAGAAAGTTATCAAGCAGAGGTTAGATTTCTATTATTTTCTTATGTTTTCTTTTCGAAATTTCTTTGCCTTCGAACGAGGCTATCGCCATGGACCTTCGTTTTGATCTATACACTCCAAAATAATCATTTCTTGGCTTTTCAGCTTCGGCAGCTGAAGTGTAATGTGGAGAATCTCCAGAAGGAGCTCGCTGATCGCGACGTTCTCTTGGAATCTCAAAATGAGAAAGTATAAATTGCTGTCATAAAAGTCCAACAGTGTTTTACTTTGATCTTTTAGATCGGTGATATGGATAAAGAACTCGCTTCATCGCGGCAGCGCTTACAAGCCGTCATGGTTGACAAAGGAGAGAATGAACTTCGCAGAGAGGTCAGAATCCAGAAATTCCAGCCATGCGAAGTAATGCATGACCGATTAAGGTCGAATCGGCACGAGGTGAAGTGGAGAAGCTTCTGAAAATGGTGCGGCAGTTGGAAAAGGAAAATCAGCAGTTGAGTTCGCAGTGTAAACAGCTCCAAAGTGCAGTAGATCGAGGAGGCACAGATAGCAGCGGAACATTGACAAAGGTATGCATTTATCCTTGATTTTCCATCCTCACTTCCATATTTTGCAGGGCGATTTGCCCACAGTCGTTCCTGGAAGTCTTTTATCAGGAGGAATAAGTGCCCAGGCCAAGAAGAGGTATATATAACGTCCATAAATGTAAGGCCACAAAATCATTTGCTGCAGAATAGAAGAGCTTGAAGAGGCGCTGCGTGAATCTGTGAGCATCACAGCTGAAAGGGAAGTTCACTTGTCACAGCAAAAACATCTGCTCCATCAAGTGAATCAGCAGGTAATTTTTTTTGTGTTGCAGTTTTTTTTTTATATATGACGCTACCACTTTTTTCAGTTGTCTGATGCACGGAGAGAGAATACCGAGCTGAGGAAGCGATTGTCCGAGGGAGGAGTTGCCGAACGTGAACAACTACTAAGAGCTGTTGAGTCTGAGCGGCGACAGCACATTGAACAGCTGCTGCAGCTCAAGTAGATTTTTTATTTCTTTTGGTCTTCTTTGCAGAACTCAGTCGACACTGAATTCTCAACTCATATACAATTTCAGGCAAGAAGCGCTTTTGGCGGCAATAGCAGAAAAAGATGCTCACCTCGCCCTTCTCGAAAAATCGCGCGCTCCTCGAGAAGAAATTGATACTGTGCGCAGACATAAAGAAGCACTTATGCGAAAGCTAAAGCAAGAGAACGAACGGTGAGTTACGCAGCTATTGTGCTCCATGCCCTTATAGCCGATAGTGTTACGTTGCAATGGATATTTTTACTCGATAATTTTTTGCTTTGAACTAACGTTTTTTTGCGCTGAAATGGCAAGTGAACCTAAGTGATCATATTTTTTTTCTTTTCTTTCTTCTTTTTGTTCTTCCTTTTTCATTTCACTCTTTTTAAGTCTATGTTACTTTGCATGAAAGAGGGTGACTAGTTGGTTTCTAATCTTGAGGATCTCCGCGCATGCATGAGAGAGATCGCGATGAGCGGTGGCTACTTTTCCTTTGAAGAATATCCCATGAAAGCATACCAAGGTTTTATTTTGTCGCCTGAAAGATTCGCGTAAAAATGCTGTGATGTTCTGTTCTGCATAGCTTCGTGCTGATATTAGCCACAAACAAAGGACCAAAAAATGAACCAACCATATAATCTTCCCCTGGAACAGTAAAGGGGCATCTGACATTAATTTATGAGATTTATGATATCATGAAGTCGTTACAACAAAACGCTTCGACTTCAAATTAGGATAGGCAAATATCTGGTGATCGATAGCATAGGAAGACTGATATTCTGAATATAAAGCCCTTATATATATATATATATATATATATATATATATATATATATATATATATATAATATATATATATATATATACATATATATATATATATATATATATATATGTTGTGTTAGTGTTCGTATATGATCAGCTGTTTTCCTCTTAGTGATCTGCCCTCGCGCATTCGATCTTAGCCTCAGAGTGCGCGGGAAACGAGCGCTATAAAAGGCGCTCACTCATAGTCTTAGTCAGTTCAGTTCAGTTCTACAGTTCGTCTGTTCACTCATCTGCCTCTCTTATTGTTGGCTGTTCTATTATTTTCTAATAAATATATTCTCTGTTCCTCGCGTGCTGCCTCAGGACGAAGAGTCGACGTGTCCGACCTGGAGGACACAACAGTGGCGATCAGGAGCGGCGGCTACTAGTCGAAGAAGTAGCCGAACCAACGAAGCCCGAGGAAATCAAATCGACGAAAAGACTGCAAAGAGCGTTCAGAACGAACCGATAGATCAGCATGGCGAAGATTGGCTCAGAGGAAATGCTGGTCCTGCTCCAGGAGATGAGAGAGGAACGAAGAGAATTGATGGAGATATTGAAGCACATTACCGGTACTGAACGAAGCAGTACCTCAAACGAAATTCCGAATATGATGTCCGCGCTCAGTAACAGGATCGAAAAGTTCTCCTTCGACCCCGAGGCGGATATGTGCTTCAGCAGATGGTACGCTCGCTACAAGGAAGTCTTTGTCGAAGACGCGAAGCAGCTCACAGAGAGCGCCAGGGTGAGGCTGTTATGCGAAAAACTGGACAAGGACAGTTTCGAAAAATACCAGAGGCATGTGCTACCGAAGGAGGTAACCGCGATCAAGTTCGAAGAAACCGTCGAAACGTTGAAACAGCTGTTCGATGTGAAGATTTCGGAGTTCACTATGCGATACCAGTGTTTGAAGCTGGAAAAGGCGGATTCCGAAGACTACCTCATGTATACCGGTCGAGTGAACGAACTGTGCGAAAAGGCGAAGATCCACGACCTCGACAGCGAGGGATCAAATGCCTGCTATGGATTTTTGGCTTGAAGAGCCAAAAAGAAGCCGAAATCAGGCAGCGACTCATAGCCGTACTGGACAAGGAGTACAAGGCTGGACGAAAGATGTCGCTACAGGAATTGTACCTGGAGTGCGAAAACTTCCTTAGTCTCAAGAAGGATAGCGAGACTGTGGCTGGTTGCACGAAGATTGTCGAAGCAACAAGCAAGGAAGAACCCAAGAAGCTGGAGTGCTGGAACTGTGGTAAAGCCCACTTTGCTAGGGAATGCAAAGCGAAGCTGTGGTATTGCAAGAAATGCAAGAAGACAGGCCACAAGGAGAAGTATTGCGAACAAGTGGCGAAGAGAAAAGCACTTGTTCAGCAAGATTCGAAACGAAGAATCCACAGAAGCAGCGATACCAGCAAAAACAGAAGTTGGACGAAATCAAAACGCCAAGTGCATAGCGTTGCGAAGATTGCGAACGCAATAATAGAATTGAATTCGACTCGCGTATATGTGGAAGCGAAGGTTAATAGTCATCCAGTTAGTTTCTTACTGGATACTGGATCAGATATTACCTTGCTAAACGAAGCAATCTGGAGAAGTATGGGTGCTCCACGGCTGGAGAAAACAAGCGTGATCGTCAAGAACGCTAGTGGAGGCTCCATGAAAGTCCATGGAAAGCTATGGTGTGAGTACGAAATCAAAGGATCCAGAAGCGAAGGCTACGCATACGTGACGCCCCACAACTCACTGCTAGGATTAGAGTGGATCCAGAAAAACGAAGATATGTCCTATCACTTAAGCAGAATGGTTGCCGAAGTGAAGGCAGAACAAACCAAGGATATCGCTTCGAAGCTAAAGGAAGCCTACCCAGAAGTCTGCGAAGAAGGTCTAGGACTCTGCACAAAGGAGAAAGCGCACCTGAGAGTTGACGAAAACATTCGTCCAGTATTCAAGGCTTGTAGGCCTGTCCCCCATGCCGCGCTCGAAGCCGTCGAAAAGGAGTTGGATAGATTACTGGAACTAAAGGTGATAAGTCCAGTGACGCACAGTGAGTGGGCAGCTCCTATCGTATGCGTCAGGAAGGCCAATGGAAAGTTGAGAGTGTGTGCCGACTTCTCAACTGGACTCAACAAAGCGCTGGAGTCGTACGATTATCCATTGCCATTGCCGGAGGATATATTCGCATCACTCAATGGAGGCACGGTGTTTTCGCAGATAGATTTATCGGACGCCTACCTGCAAATCGAGTTGTCAGAAGAAGCGAAGAAAATGGTCGTGATAAATACGCATAGATTATACCAATACAATAGACTGCCTTTTGGAATAAAGACAGCACCAGGAATCTTCCAACAGATAATGAATAAGATGGTGAGCGGTTTGCAAGGTGTAGCAACCTACCTGGACGACATACTGGTCTGTGGAAGAACCGAAGAAGAACATATGGCGAATTTGCTAGCTGTTTTTGCAAGGATAGCCGACTATGGATTCAGAATTCGCTTAGAGAAGTGCTCTTTTGGCAAGCCAGAGATACGATATCTTGGCTTCATAGTAGATCGAAATGGCAGAAGGCCAAACTCAGAGAAGATCGAAGCAATTAAGAAGATGGATGAGCCGAAGAACGTTAATCAATTGAGAGCTTTTCTTGGCATGATAACATACTATGCAGCGTTTATGCCGAAGATCAAGGATCTTCGTGGGCCATTGGACGCGATGCTCAAGAAAGATGCGAAGTGGGCTTGGACACGAACACATCAAGAAGCGTTCGAAAAACTCAAGGAGACTTTGTCAAGTGAGCTGAATCTTGCTCACTATGATCCAAGACAGAAGATCGTCGTGGCAGCGGACGCCAGCGATTATGGAATTGGATGCGTAATATCGCACAGATATGCCGATGGATCCGAAAAGCCAACTGCACATGCATCGCGGTCTCTTACGAAAGCGGAGAAGAACTATTCGCAGATCGAAAAGGAAGCATTGGGAATTGTCTTTGCTGTCAAGAAATTCCACAAGTACATATTCGGACGAAAGTTTCTATTGTTGACGGACCATGAACCTTTGCTAGCCATCTTCGGTGACAAGAAAGGAGTTCCAGTCTACTCCGCTAACCGACTTATGAGATGGGCTACAATACTGCTTGGATATGACTTTGACATAGAGTATGTCAAGACTACGAAGTTTGGACAAGCAGATGGCTTGTCACGGTTGATGAAGAAGAGTCAGAATAACGAAGAAGACGTCGTGATAGCTGCCGTTGAGAACGACGTGAACTTCATGTTGAAGAATTGCTTAAGGAAATTGCCAGTGACGGTATCAGATGTGCAATCCTATACGAAGAAGGACCCAATGCTACAAAGAGTGATGATCTACTTGAAGAAAGGACAGTGGCCAGACGTCAATGGAGAATTGGCACATTTTCGAAATCGAAGAGAGTCATTGTCAATTGTGGAGCAGTGTCTGATGTCAGCCGAAAGGGTTGTGATACCCAAGGAGCTTCGAAGAAATGTTTTGAAGCAACTGCATATTGGTCATCCAGGGATAGTAAGGATGAAGAAACTGGCTCGAAGTTACGTCTACTGGCCAAATATAGACAAGGATTGCGAAGATTTGGTACGAAGGTGTACGAAATGTCAGGAATTGGCCAAGAATCCGACGAAAGTACCATTAGAAGCATGGCCATCAGCGACTCGAGTGTGGCAGAGGATACACATCGACTTCGCTGGACCCATGCAAGGAGTCTTCTACTTGGTCGTGGTAGATGCCTACAGCAAATGGCCTGAAATGATCGAGATGAGCAATATCTCGGCTGCGAAGACGGTGAAGGCTCTGAAGAATTTGTTTGCGAGGTATGGATTACCGCAAACGATAGTGAGCGACAATGGTACCCAGTTCACATCGGATTTATTCAAGAAGATGTGCGACGAAGGTGGAATTACCCACATAAGGACTGCTCCTTATCACCCTCAGTCGAATGGACAGGCAGAGCGTTTCGTTGATACGCTGAAACGCGGGATCAAGAAACTAGAGGGGGAGGAGAGGCCAACAGAAGAGACTATAAATGTGGTGTTACAAGCGTATAAGACAACACCAAACACGAACTTGAACGACAGGACGCCAGCGCAGTTGTTTCTAGGCAGAAACTTGCGCACAAAATTAAGTCTGTTACTCCCGATGACAGAAGATGGAGAAGACCCACTCGCACGAAGAAGACGAGAGCGCATGAAAGATCAATTCGACAAGAAACATGGAGTATGTCGAAAGGAATTCGAAGTCGGTGACTTAGTGTACGCCAAGCAGTGGAAGCCACCCCACTTCCACTGGATGAAAGGAACCGTGATGAGACGTATTGGACGAGTCAACTATGAAGTAATGGTTGGAAATGAAATCTGCAAGAAGCACGCAAATCAACTACGCCACCGAAGCGACAGCGAACAGCTTGCAGTCCAACAGCAACTCAAACAACAATCCGAAGCTATGAAGATACTCTTAGATGTTTTGACAGAAGACGACATTCTACAAAGGAATGGCAGTGCAGCTGACAACAATCCCGAGCAAGCGATCGCGAGCGATGTGCCAGCACCCGTGGATTCAACGACATCGACGTCGACATCAAGCCAGGAGCCCTCCACGCCACCGAAAACGCTTCGGAGATCGAGCAGAACGAGAAGACCGGTACAACGGTTCCAACCTAATCCATAGTATGTTATCGTATGTTTGTTTTATTAGTTTTGTAGTTGCTTAAATGATAGTGATATCTATGTATAATCGATTTTTAGCTGTTCATATTTGTAGTTCATGCTTTTTATCGTAGGCTAGTTTTGTGTAACTACCCTACTGGGGGAGGTGTTGTGTTAGTGTTCGTATATGATCAGCTGTTTTCCTCTTAGTGATCTGCCCTCGCGCATTCGATCTTAGCCTCAGAGTGCGCGGGAAACGAGCGCTATAAAAGGCGCTCACTCATAGTCTTAGTCAGTTCAGTTCAGTTCTACAGTTCGTCTGTTCACTCATCTGCCTCTCTTGTTGTTGGCTGTTCTATTATTTTCTAATAAATATATTCTCTGTTCCTCGCGTGCTGCCTCAGGACGAAGAGTCGACGTGTCCGACCTGGAGGACACAACAATATATATATATATATATATATATATATATATATAAACTTAAAAATTGTCAGTTTGGAGGGTACGTGCGTTATAGAAACGAGCGCCATTCAACCAATTGAGCTGAAACTTTGCACGCACATATTTTCGACCCCTGCGCAGTTTATAGGCTACTTTTTGTGGCAAATCGTCGGGTCTCTCCATCGATTTATTAATTTGTTTACGTTTTTCTAAGGAGTTGAAGGCTTATCATGTTTAACTAAGCATTTTCACATAATCATGTGAAGGAGGGCGGTGAAGCTCACTTCCACTCAGATTCACGAGGATGAGGTGAATTGAAGCGGATGCGCAAGGTAAGTCACCCATAACATGGAAGGGAAAGGGTTGCGCAGTGCGGTAATTTTGCTGGAAACGGTAGCATCTATCTCCTCTCCTATGAACAATAGCCCGGGCTGGACCGGGGAAGCCAACTAGTAAAATATAAGCCACAGCTTTTATTTTTTTTGGATAGATAAAAATAAGTCTTCCGAACTTATGGTGTAACTATGCCATTGCAGCCGTGCCATGGTCGTCCGACCTGATAGCGCCGCAAGCGTAATCCAACCAGGAGCAGCGACTGTTGCTGTTGGTGGCCCTGCCCAGTACATAGCTCAGCCCAGTCCGCGACAAGGTAGGATCTTTGCTAATGTTCATCTTTGGAATGCCTTAATAAGTTTCAGGTGATGTGATGCCTGCTGAAATCGACGACTCCGAAGGGATTTGGGCGTAAATGACCACTGTTATGCGTTACCATTGTCTTTTTCTCATTTGCTCTTGAACCATCACAAACCTGATTTTCTAGTCATTTGCCATCTTTTAGGTACTGCTGCATTATTAATCTCCGCATACAACATGGTACTGCCGCGCACGCTTTCTCTTACTTACTCAGAGCCTTTTCCCCATCTATTCTGCCCATTCATATGTTGTCACCTCTTCATGACCATTTTTTTCGCATTTACTGCGATTTATTGCGCTCGCGCAGCATTACCTGGTGGGATCAAATCCTAGAATTATCTCTTGCACTTACAGCATTACCCTTGATTTTACACTGCGCAATTCACTTTCTTCACACCTTTTCCAGTGATTATCGTTTTTTGCATGTCTTTCCGCAATATGATCACAGTTTGAACCTCACTTCTTTCAGTCATAATAATTTATCGGAATGAACAATACGAGATACAGTCAGAAATGTACAATATACAAATATCAGAAATGTACAATGATACCTGTAATGTGATTGAGTTTATATTAACTAGAAGTTGAGAACGGTCAGCAACAGTATCCCTATTATTCCGAACAAAGTGTATGAAGCTGACGATTTTGCAAGGAATGGATAGAAAAAGTCGTTGGGTAGACGTAAATTGATGTATGGAAGGGCAGCGAAACGATAGGACGGAGCTGGAAAATTTACTAATCAACTGAGTAGACGATGCCATGATTTCCCATCTAGGATTTCATTATCTGATGGGTTAAATTCTTCTTCACTATGTTAGGCTACTATTTAGCGAGTTACTGTAAGGCGCACCCCTTTTTCCTCGGCATAATCGCCACGCCAGAACTTCGCTACATTCGCGCGCGTATCGTTTAGGTGTTTCATTGAATGGCCGCCCGCAAGGCTCTTGCGTTGCGGATGCGCAAAAGGGACTACATGACGTCGCAGACCATATATATAAGATGTTCTTTGAAGGAGTGCAATCTCTTCATTTTTTTTGGAATGACTGACCCAACTTCGATAACAAAAGTGGTTTGAATATGATTTTATAAAATTATCTCTTGAAACCTCTTAGAGCAGCAGCACTTGGGAATGTAAAAAAAAATCTAGAACCTTATTCCTTTACTTTGTAGAAGAAGAAACTCTAGACTCGCTCGAAAGCATGATGTCGTCTTTATAGGTTCCACATGTATCGCTAGTGAGCCATTGGACCCGGCGTATACTTCACGCGATCTCAGTCGCCTTTCGATCTGGCAATTTGTCAGATGTCTTCAAACCCCAATATTCGCAGACTACAAATGCATAGTGTGTAACTTTCCCAGTTCATTAAAATGCCCTACCTTCTGTACTTTCAGAATGCGCTAATTAGTAACAGTTGGAGTTTCGACAAACCGAGTCGCGACTCGGGACATAGGTACATATATCGCGTGAAATATGTCCCTGGTCTTGCAATTTCTTATCTGCGAACAAGATTCTCACCCCAAAAAGACGTATTCGGATGACCTGGTTCGCTAGCAAATTTCAAATGTTCATGATTTCAATGAAATCTTCTTTTGCTGGCGGAGTTCAGAAAGCGGAAGCGTGAAGGGAAATTCCAGTTCCAATCAATCATTTTTGAAGACAGAAAATTCAGGGCAAACATGACTGGAGGAAAGCTTTGAGAGAGCTTTCAGGTGATGGTTCAGTTTTGGAAGAAAAATTTGTGGGAAAAGAAAAGGATGCTCCAATGACACGAAGCACGCCTAAATCTAAGTTGATCGATTTGATTCCGCCAATAGCTTGATTACTGTTAGCAAAACATTTCTTACTTTGAATCTAAATTTGAATTGGATGATTTGAAATTTTACAATTTTCGAGCTCAAGCAAAACACAAGACCTCACGAGTAATTATATGAATTTGTGAAACTTACGAGGAGTCACATCCTTGAAATGCACAGCATAGCGAAGGATTATCGTGGTCTCAGCAGCTAGCGCTAACGTAACCTGCAATTCATGTAGTTCGTTTGTAACAAGCATGCCTTCGTTTATTGCTGAGACCGTCAAAAAAAGAAAGGAAATCTCCGGAATTTTTCAGTCACCTTTTCACTTTCCACGTCACAGGTTGCAGAAACAATGACTTGAGTAGCATTGTTGGTTGCTCCCTGTTTTGCATACAGTACAGAAATAACATATCCTGTATTGAGCACGCATTCGGAATTAGTCGAAGCCTGTAAAAATGAATTGATTGGCTTTAAGCGAACTTTGTGAATTTGACTTGTATGCAAAGATTTGAGAAAACCAATGTATTAGATGTTGCAAAAACTAGGGTCCCTTTCTTAACGAAGCATGTTTTTGTTTTCCTAGTCAACTTGAAGTACTACGATAAAGCAAAGCAAGTTTTACTAAGTGACCACCAAAGATTTACTTGAGTGGCAATTCAGGTAAAATTTGGAGCCAAAAGCTAAAACTTTTATATCCGAAGATCTGATCTACTTTCAGAAAATACGGACCCAGGGCTCGGGACAAGCTGGCATCAGGGAAGTTTCAAAACGAAGTTCCATTTGATCTTGAAAATTTCGTACGAAGTTCCCTTTGATCCTAAACCCTAAACATCGATAAAGAAAAATTGATTTTGTGTCTTTTCGGCCACAAAAACGATATCCCATTTGCTTTTTTGTCCCCAAAAAATATCCAGCTTGGCCCGATGCCAGCTGTGCGGGGTCTTATAGGCTGTTGTATGGACCTCCGGCTTGGTCATCATACAGCAGACACATAATGCTTCAGAAATGCATTTATTGTTTTTTTTCTGCTGCTCAAAATTTAAAAAAAATCAAAGTAGTCCGAAAGTGCAATAATGTCATTTTTTCGGTGTTTTATGTTGAATTGGTAATTCTCGTCATCAGAGCACATACGGAGGTATAATTCTAAAATTATACTTACTGAGGTTCGTAGTATACTGCCACATTTGTGGGGAGGTGGGGCGGAGTTTGCCATTTTGAACTATCTTATATCTCGATTTCCATGCAGAAAAGAATTTGAGGTGTCTTTAACTGTATGAGATCAACTTGGGCTGTTAGGATTTTTTGGGCAAAATCCCGATTTTCAACAATTTTTTTTTCTAATTTTGGCTGCAAAGAACAGGGTTACGACTTGGAAAATTTCCGGTCATTTTGTGGAGCTTGCTTTGCTATATCGAACACTGCCCTTAGTATGCAAAAGTTTGGTCTTTCTATAAAGGTTTACTTTTGGGACAACCTAATAGAATCTAGTAGATTTGGAGCTGATGTTGTGCTCTCTTAGTGTTGACAGCTTCAAAAGCACACTATTTCAATCTTTTACGCCACTGCCATTTCCTACGGCAGTGTTGTCAGCACCGCAGGTGCCACACTATATCAGTCATAAAAACTAATAGAGTTCTGGATGCAAGATATAAGCTCTCCTACCTCCGTCCCGTTTCTTACAAGTACGAGTGCATTTGTGTTGTTAGTTGAAGATCCGTCCGCGGAACTGCGAAGTCGTGCGGGAATGAATGCTTCAATCATCCGCTGTATTGCCTGCTTAGCTTCATCACATCTTGTCACCCTGGAATGTTTTTTTGGCTGCGAGAACACCAAGCCGATTTTTTCCTTAGAATTTATTTATATTGACTTGTTTGCTAATCAATCCTTGGACACTACTTTTGAGGTGATTCAAAGTTGAAGTTTGTGGAGGTGATTTCAATGATTGGAAGTAAGGAAAGTTGCAGTATATCCTCCATTTTTCTTTACTCTCCTTTGCATCGTGATTACTCATCTTATTTCCTGCTACGCTCGCGATAATTTGATGTGAACATATTTCATCGTTAAATTTCTTCAACTTTCAGCCTGCTTGAGCACCTCAATCAAATGCACTTTTGAGCTACAGCTATTTCGGTTGTAATGTTCCCACATTTCATCAAATTTAGCACATAAGCTCCGGAAAAGCGAGCACAAGGTAAATTGCAATCAGGCTTAGAAGCGCTGGCCTATATACCATTCTGATTTGTACAAGATAAAGTTCTGAAGTCTTGAGTGCAGGATGGGTCAAGTAATTTTTGAATTTCGTCTACATGCATACAAAATGTGTAACAGATTTGCTTTCACTTCTCAGTAGTTGAAATCTCATAAAATTTCAAATGTTCAATATGTTTTGTGAAAATTTTTCGGAAACTCACTAGAGAATGGTTAGAAATCGAAGTGGTTAATCCAAACAAGCTGAATAACATTAGATACATGATAAAACACTGACTTCGGATCTGTATTTCTCATCTGCTTAGCGCCTATGTGGAACAAGTTATGAACCGTTGAATGCTGTTATTTTGCTAAGAAATCGTGTTTGCAAAGCACAAATTTAACAGTAAAAAGTCATGTTTGGCTCAATACTGGGCCAAAACATGTAGCTAGTGACTGTATATTTTTGAAGCCTAAAGGAGCTGAAAGTGCAACAATGTGCTCAATTTTCGTCAGCGACAAGTAGCAAAATCAAATATTGGAATGTCATACTTGTGCGCACGGAGCAGGGCACAAAGCACGGCTTAATTTTCAAATTCTCTCACAAAATTTTCTATGCAGCAAAAACTACATATAATCTCTTTAACTTCAATACGATCTCTAATATGTAGGCTACTCAGTGATGAAAATCAAATATGTCTGCAGATCCTCAAGTATTTCTATGTCAAAGTAGAGAGTCTTGAAAAAAGGCTTTGTAAGGTTTCAGATTTTCACTCTTCTCCAGCTTGCCTTTTTTATGTGAGTTCCGTACTTACAGTGGCAAAAATCCTGCTTAATCCAGCAAAATTCAAATTTTTGCAAACGTTGATTCCGAAAAAAATTGTAGCACTTCACATCAGTAAATCTATAAATCGCACAAAACTTTGGAACAACCTAGTATGTTTGAAGCTGCTTTGAAGTTCAAAGCTGATTTTTTATATTTTCGTACCTAAATGTGCAGGCAGTCGTAGCGTTGACAAGAAACTTGATCGGTGTTCCGTTCTCAGCTCTGCACTCTCCTGATTTCGGTAACGAAAAAGGTAGAGACTCGCTATTACCTAAATGATGACTTTTTACATAAGTGAGAATGTTATGCTTACATTGAGGGATTCCACTTTGATTTTGGTGATTTCGGAAAATGGACATTATATTTGCAACAGCATTCGCTGCACATAAATTTGAGGACTATTTTTGTGAAATATTTCTAGACGTTCATCGTAAAAGACCATATTTCCAAATGAAACCATTTTAGCACATTCAGAACTTTTTGCAATTTTTTGCAATTTATTTGTAACGTTTTTTAGCAACAGACGACGAGAATAAGTTGTATCTTCCAAGCTGGCATTTTAGGAAGACATCAGGAAAATATAATGAAGTGTACTAAAAGATTGTCAAAGTAGGTTAGGAGAGCGCTGATAACGAAAATGAAGGACTTTGATTGTTGGTTTACTACTGTAGGGTTACAGTATCATGTAGTGGGAGATCAAAGGTTTATGAAAAATCGAGTTCCGGACACTATTGTAGCTTATTGGCGGCAAAATGTAACAAACTAATGGGATAGATTTCTAAATTAGTATAGGCATCGCATAACGCAAAATCTACGCTGCAAAATTCGACAGTTTCGCAAAGCTTTGTGAGAAATTTCCTCGTCAGCAAAGTCGAGACGAAAGTAAACGTACAGCCCGCAAATGGTCTCAAACGTAGCGCTCTCCTTCAAATGGAAGTTTTAAAAATTCATTTGTTGTTGATATCATTACCTTTGAATGCGATAATCTCTTGTCCCTGCATGTAACCCAATTGCTGAACATTCTGCGGTGGATCCAGCACATTTCGAAAGTTCATTTTGAACGTCTGCTTGAACGAAGAGTAATTTGAGGCAGTTAGAGTTGCGTATTTGATAGACTTCACTATCGCTTCAGCAACATGAGTATCATTCATAGCAATTTCTACTGTAACCTGGAATAGCATCAAAATAAATATGGTGATATATTGGATACTGGATGAGCTACGTAAATAAATGATCAGAAATAACCTCTTGTATGACATTCTGGCATTGATTTTGGTTCCATTGCACAGGTAAAATGCTTGCATTAGAGCGAAAACTGGTCTCCATGCTGATGTTCTTGACATACTAAAAAATGCGCACCTCTCAGTTCCAAGGAAAAGATTCTTTTACAAAAACTTACAGACACAATGGTAGGCTCAAAAAGTTTTTGTGCTGATAAAAATTCATTCGATAAACACTCCGTTTCATTGAATGGGTAGAATACCGGCGAACAAGAGACTACGTGCGAGAATCCGATCACTGAAACTGTGCATTTTATACAAAGAGAAAAACTCGAAGCAACAAAATTGTGCTTACCTACTTGTTGAGTTCCCGTGCACGAGGAACTGCTAAAGGAGGCAGGGAGTAAAAAATCTTCAATTCTGTTATCCTTTTTTATAAGCAGCAAGGGAGGTGAGTCCTCTATCTAAAATACTACAAAATTTTTCGTGCCATTCTACGGTGCGTGTAATTGAGCAATAATCCTTCGTTGCGTGAAAATATGAAAGATTTTTGTTTCCCATTCGACATTTGTGTGAATCTTCCAAAGTTAATAGCTCATTGTACTGCTTTTCATGATTTGCTGAAACAGAGTAGATTTGTCTTTCTTTTGTGTCATGAAAAAATGCTTTGATCTGCAATTTCTACATTGTCTAATTGTCATTCAAAAATACCCAGCCTTCTGATTTCGGCGACATGTGGTTCTGGCTGTTATGAAATTTTGGATCTACTAACTACTATTAATAAAATAAGGGAAATTAGACTGTTATATTAACCAACTCTTCAAACTCGCTGTTGCGTGCTCTATGAGAAAAGCGCTTTTAGCAGGTACCGAAAATTGTCAACCGAGTTTGCTCGCTTTTTCGAAGTAAATAGTAATGGAGAATTGCTTACTTGATCTAGATTAGCATTAACTTGAGCTTACGATCACAGATTGGTCTCAGCTGTCTTAGCAATAAATTCTTTTGCGGTCTTCAAAAATATTTGAACGTGACTGGAGCAAACGTAGTTTAAGTGTGTCATTATACTTTGTGGATCTTGCTACATGTTTTTTTTTCATAGAATTAAACATGTTCAATGGACAAATGCTGTGAATTATCGTAAAAAGAGGCCTTCTCGAGTGCGAATTTTCGTAGTACGGCACGAGCAATAAATTTACGTTAATGCAAAGCGAATAAACATATAACGGGTGCTTGGTCAATCGCAACTGGTATTTGAATCGAGGAAAAAGCCGCTCCACAGAGAGGCCAAAACTTAATCGAAGTAAATGTAAGTAGAGAACTCATAATTAGCGAAAAAAGATTCACCTGTTCAGTTTGCAAATAAGGATTTTCCACCAAAAAATCCGACCATTCGTCCTCGCTTTGAATAATGGGCACATCATCAAAGCTACTCGCATCTTAATGCTTCTCCTTTAAAAAAATGTGCAAAACATTACGTGTAAAAACTACCGTTCGAGCGGACCACGCAGAAGAGATCCGTGGACGGCAGAATAGTCTCGCCACGATGGAGCCAGACAGAATTGTAACATGTGCGGTCAGTTTCTTGTGCTTTGGAGATGGTAGGAAGCAGAAGAGGCAGAAGAGCCAGCACCATGTATGTTGGAAGAGTGTTTGCGTTGCGCTAACACCACGGTTGCTAGGAGAGCCGTTGTTGACAACCCGCTGTGTACGCGGGGGAGAGGTCATGTAGGATCGGGACCGGTGACATCTGAACCGATCAGAGAAGGTAACGATGAGGATATGCTAGGGATTTTTTGATTTCTCGCATTGACTGAGCCATCTGCACACCAGCAGCACCTAGAGCAACATTTGTTGTACTCTGCATTGCCAACAATTTTTTCATAAAACTGTTCAATTTGTAAAACAAACTACAAAATTATATTGCTGACTAAAGAATTGAGTTCCTGGCAAATTTTCTAACTATCTTCTTCTAGTGACGCAGGAAAGAATAAGTAACAAGATCGCTAAAATCACTAGAAAGCACTCTGATAGTGGCAAGGGAATCATGTTTAGTCAAAGCAGCCTTTTAGATGGGATGTGTACCATACCAGAAGCATGAAACGCTGATTCCAAACCTGCCTTCCTTATCTGCGGAACATTTATGGAAGAGGAGTTATGAGCTTTTTTTACAGCAAAAAATTATATGTGCAAATAGGGCAAAAACTGTCGTGATATTTCTTCTAGCGCTTAGAATGATGGTTATCAAAGCACCTTACGCAATAATTCTCAGACAAAAAAAGTAAACTTGGTTGCGTTATTCAGGTGTAGGAACATGTTAGCAACTCATTTTTTCCTAAATGCACCTTTCTTCTTTCAATAAACGCTTATAACTAATCGTCCACAAATGTTCCGCAGATAAGGAAGGCAGATTCAGAATCAGCACTCTATGCCCTCCAATAATATATACATCCATTTGAAAAGACCACTTCGACTTGCAAATGAGCAAAATGAGCAACATACTTCCCTTGTGAGTTATCGAATTATAGATTCGAATACGTGTAAAGCTAGTGGTTATAGTGGTTCTAGCTAGTGGTTAACCTAGTGGTTCTGGTTATATGCCTTACAAAATTATGCTTATTGTTTGATTGTCCATGGTTCTCTTGTCAATCTCGCGGATCCGGGTCCACATATTATGTATAAGGCTAACCTCGTTTCAAAAAAATGGGAAAAAATCTTTCGCATGAGATTTTGTCGACGCCGATTGCAAAAGCAATCTATTTACAGCTCTATAGCTGTTTAAACAACAGAGTCAAATTTTTGAGAAACATCGGGAAAACAGCTATCATATTAGAGTGATCGGTAAAAAATGGGGCAGTTTGATTTTTATAAAATTTTGAGATTGTTTGTTTCGATCAACAACAAGCAGACTGCGATGTAAACGTCGCTCATATAAGCGACCTTCGCCTATTATTCTGACAAAGCGTCAACGCTCCTCTCCCACAACCCTACGCTGGTGCCCTGAAGAACTCGAACAGGGTTTTTTGAACATCTCTCATTCTTGCGCTGCCATACCGTAAAGTTGTAGAGCAATTGATATACCATTCGAAAGAGCTCTTCATGCTCTTTCAAACAGTATAAAGCATACAGGATTATCTTCTACTCCCCTGAATTTGAAAGTTGAGGCCAGCAATCCATCGTGGTTCTGGTGGCTGTACCTTCACGCATAGCAGTAGTAGTAACTTGGATGGTTTCGTATGTTCCAGTGCGCAGATACTGCTCGAAGTTTATAATTTTTCAAAGTGACTAACTTTGTATTTCAGCCACTATAAAAATTATTAGGTACGTTAATGACCTTATATAGGTATTTTCTGAAGGAGAATAATTTATTCTAACATTTATCAATATTGGGAAGCTAAATTACTTTTCTTTTTTGAGAAATCTACATTTATTTTGTAGGCCCATTTTTTACCGATCACCCTAATCGTATGCGTGGTGTAACCTGTGGAACAACTCACATTCATATTCTTTGTGCAACAGTTTGACCCCCTCCCCCCTACCGCCCTCCTTCTCTGTTATCTCCGGCACTAGAAAAAGACATTTTGAGAGCATGGTCGAATGACGGACGACTCATTAAACAAAATGTGACAGAATTTGAAATGTCTCTGGAAAGACTCACAGATGATCAAGGCACAAAGAAGAAATATTTGGAGCGTTTCAGGAGTGTAAGACTTATAACGTAATGCTTATCTGGTTTTTCAGTACGAGATGACTGCTTTAAAGGGTGAAACACGCTGATTCCAAATCTACTTTATCTGCTGCGGATTTTTAGGCGAGGAGTTTGAAGGTTTTTATGGGCAAAAAATTTGCTTATATAATTAAGAAAAGATCAGTCGTTAGATTTTCCTACGGCTCGGGTGATTTTCGGGTAACTGTTGCAATAATTATTTATAATCGGAATAAATCCGCGTAACGCTGCCACATGGAACTAGAGAAGGTAAGCGACTTACTTTATATTAATCATGAAATTTTTGCCCATAAAAACCTTCATAACTCCTTGCTCAGAAATCCACAGCAAATAAAAAAATAGATTTGGAATCAGCGTATTTATACTGTTCAAGTCAATATACATCTTCTTCGGCTAATCTTCTTTTCCTTGTTAGGAAAGGAAGGACAGCAGAAGGACTGTATGACTTGAAGAATACATACGGGGTGTCCGAAAAGTAAGTACACACTTTCAATCGTTAATGTCTCTCTTCTCGTAGTGTCTTTTCCCGCCATTGAAGTACCATTCTGTAGAGAAAGCTTCAACTTAGATTAACATTATCGAGCGAATTACTGATTGCTCTTCATTGCTGTAGGATTACTGTAGGAACTTCGACAAGGAGTTTAGGCCATTAGAAGCCATATTCTGCCTCGACCAAAATTAAACAAGCCAAAAACTCTTATACTATGGTAATGAAAGTCGCTGATTTCAAATATGAAATTCTCACTTGACTGTGGTGCTTTTTGCAAAGTTATCCCAGGTAAACCATAGTAATGGAATTCACAGTATCTGTCAGAAATGTGATTACACCGCCGAAAAAGCTGAAAACACTCGTAAAAAGTTGTGTAATGGATTCGGCGTGCGCGAAAACTCTAGTACACGATTTTTCAGACTTTTTGAAGAAAATTTTTGTCTGATGGCATATTTCACGATGGTTTCACATGCTGGAAGTTCTTACCGTAATGCTACAATAACCAAGAGCGATGTATGATTCGATCGATACTGCAAATTTAAGATGAAGCCTCCTCTACAGAATGGCACTTGACAGACAAAAAAGACTTATTGGGAACAGAGAGATATTGATGATTGAAAGTGTGTACTCAATTTTGGGGCAAGCTTCTCGAAAGAACACGGACTCTAAATCGAAAGAAAAGAACAGCGCTTAAAATGGTTCAGGTTGTCCTGGAGTAAAATTGATACACTTTCCTTCTGTATACATACGAGAAAGCCAGCCTTTGTTCGAGCGCATTTTCATTCCAATCATTGGTCATCTCTCCCTAGGTAATCTTCTCGAGTCAGCTAAAACTATAAAACTATCTTTTGTCTTCGCTAATCTCTCCAAACCTCCCCCCTCCACCGACTTCCGCATCCACTAACAAAAAGGCAGTCACTTCCTCTTGTACCATGACAACTATATTCGTGTTATTTCAAGAAGTGCAGCCTTTATCGCTGTGCACGATAACTTTGGGTAGATGGCTCAGCATGTGCCGCTGCCATTCTCGAATACAAGACTAAACAAAAAAAAACGACAAAAACGAAAAAAATCCAATTATCCTGACTTTCCGTTTCTGTGTATCTGCAGTATTTGCTGCCATGTAGAGATGCTTGATAGATCACACTCAAAATTCAGATGCATACTTTTTTCTTTTGAACCCTAGCAGGCTAGATCAATCTGCGACGTTTACTCGGTTAGATAGCTGTCGGGAAGTCCTTGAACACAGGGCTTTTCTATCAATTGAAAAAGCTGGTCGTCTTTTTCTGGCGCTCTGATCTGGATGTTTTCGGAACTGTGAATTTCCCTTTTCATATACTTCGCTTTTATGTTTTAGCCTCTAGTTCATTTTGTGTATCTCTAATCAGGCATGACTTTCATGCGTTTTTCTACCCTAGGATCATATGCATCATCTTAAGCGAGCTCATGGTATTGATGTGGGATCTAACCGATGTTATGGTTTGATGAAGGAAAGATGAGACAGTAGAATTTTTGTGCAGCGTCTTTTATTTGAAAAAATTTGATTGCGTCGTCCGCACACGGAGGATGGAACTTGTGGGTGCTCCTTCGAGATGTGCTCGCTTTCCTTCGACATCCCCAGTCATCTCGAAGTTTTAATTCTTCTTTTCGTCATATGCTGCTGGGCAAAATTCCGTTATTTCTCGTACAATTTTGTTCATTTCTCGAAAAACGAGACTTAGTATGTAGTCTCTACATGTCTATCTCACTTCTCCACAAGTTTCCTTACTATTAGAATGCTTATAACTGGTCATTTGTAGATCACTTTTCCCTTTTGCCATACTTTATGGGAAGCACCTTTACCCCGCTTATGAATCCCAGCTTTTTTAAAGGCTCGCTGATGACTGGATGGTTTCACTTGCATAAAAGTAACAGGGGCACAAACAAGGGCATATTGACTACACAGTGTTGGAGCATGGTGCCCCTTTTAACGTTTTCACCGATCAATTGAGTCACATAATTCTGCATAACCGGGTGGTCACTCAAGAATCTTGAAAAAAGCGGTTTGAACCGCAACCGCTTCTTCCGGACACTTACTAACAGTAACAGAGATATGGAAGCTCGTTTCATTAAAAATGCTTCGGCAAAGAGTTATATAGAAGTCTAATCTACAATGTCCACTTTTATAACTACTTGTAAGACTAGAAAACAATCAGATCATAAAAGCGTAGGTCATGTGCCTTGAACTGTGATCAGTCCAAGAGGGGGTCCTGCACCCTTCAATCCGTCAGTCGGCGGTGGTAACCGTTTTTTTCTTTTAAGCTGAAAGTTTTCAACTGCTTTTTGATTACTTGACTATACCTGTAGTTTTCCAATTTCGATTTTATTTTTTTAGAAGGGTTTTCAAACTTTATTACACGGACTGGATTGACTTGAATTATGCAAATCAAGATATTTCTCAATAAAAAATATGCCGCTAATTATTCAGTAAGCTTTTATGAATTCTTATACTTTGTTTCTACACTCCCTCGAAACATTGCAAAGCACTAAACTTTTTTTAGCAACCTTTCTTAGCACTATATTCAGCATTGTTCTTTACGTTTGCGTTTTTCACATTCCTCATATTTACGCAGATTGTCTATCACTGTATTTACGCGAAAGCATTCGGTGCGTTTTCATATTAGGTTGGTCCAAAAGTTTTGTCAGTTTTTTCAATCCATCGGCAAACATGCTAGAATGAAGATAAGAACCTTCAGAATGTATCCAATGCAGAATTTCTTCCTCTTTCCAGCTGTTAAACTACCATTGCGTTTCCTTGCGAGATTGACGAGATATTTGCTGGAAATTACAACTACTCGTTTGTACTATGTCCAACTTTCGCTAATTTTCAAAATTTTTGTATGTGACATTCGGGAGAGCCCTAATAACCAGCGAATAGGACAGACCTTTCACCAACTTATGCAATTTTTTTCTTTTCTTCAGCTGCTTTTTCATATTTTTGCTAAGTAATTTTCTAAAAGCCTTGTGTTGTGAAAAAATCGCTTAACCTGTTATTGTACCAAACACTGCAAGATCTACAGAATACTGGGTTAACACTCGTTTATTACTATGCTACCTATTACAAAGTAAATGAGCGTTTTTCGCTTCAATTACGAAGATCTTGAAACATAGGTTACGTCAGTGCGCACTCCTGAAATTGAGAAATACTGCGATTTTCCCCACAAATTTCGCCTGTCTCGATAAAAAAGACATGTTAGAACGAGGAGGAACAGTTGCATCGAATGTTGACTGAAATGTTTGATTTTATATTCTACGAGGTTGAAATAGGCTGAATGTGTTATTTGGTCACTTCAAAAAATAAATCGTAGAAATTCTGAAAGACACGCCCTAGGGTATAAAAAACTGCTTCTGTTGGCAAAAGGTTTGCCCTATCTGCTGGTTATTGGGGCTCTTCTGAAAGTCTCATACAAAAACTTTGAAAATTAGCGAAAGTTGGGTATGGTAAAAACGAGAGGTTGCAATTTCTATTAAATACCTCGTCATTCTCGCAAAGAAACACAATGAAAGTTTAGCGGCTGGAAAGAGGAAGGAATTCTGCATTGGATACATTCTGAAGCGTTTGCTTATCCTCATTCTAGCGTGTTTGCCGTTGAATTGAAAAAAACTGACAAAACTTTCGAACCAACCTAATATTTGGAAAATCTAATGACCGTGGCCATCCGTTGAGATACACCATCTGTAAACTTTCCGGTCTTTTTGAGTACTAAACTCTAGAGACTTATTTTAGACATTTTTTCGTAATAACAAAGAATCAGCTTCAACCAAAAAGCTGATTTTGACAATAATGCATTGTGTAACCTCAATTACAAAGAAATCTTTTGAATGATACGATGAAGACAAAAATGGAATAAACCAATACTTGGTAAATAATTTGGATTGCATCTTATGGAATAATGCATTTCTCACTCGACCTTGTCACTATGCATTATTTTGATCAACTTGCTGCAGTTTCGCTTCCAGCGTTTTCCAGGAGACAGAGAAGGCAGACGATGTCTTTAAAAAACAAAACATTCAGTCCATTTTCGGACTCGTTCCCTTCAACCTTTTCTTATGTACAGGAAGTTCAAAACTTTACGAGAATAGTTTATTGGTGCAGCTATCGTAGCGAACAGCCGGATCAGGGCAGGTAGGTCCACTCCTACGATAGCTGCATTAATAAAAGTCATTTCATGGACTCAATTACCGGGAAAGTCCAAGGAGCGGCGGCGCGCAAGCGTCGGCGGCGGCTTTTTCCAGCAATGGTCGAGAGCTTTCCGTTCGAGATTGCGCCCGACTGCCTGTTCTTGCGGGGCTTCGAAGAAGGCGGGCACTCTCCTAACGGGTTTTCTTCTAAACACATTCACCACCACTCCATCTCTGGTTTGTTTCGCACTAATTATTATTCATTCATCAGATGTCGACACGGCTAACGCTAACTCTATTAATTCTCGTTCGAATAGGTAAGTCAGTAAAGCTTTTGTAAGTAGTTCTCGTATCTCCTATTGAAAATGAAAGCGGTGCTTCTTGAGACCGACCAAAGTCGGTCAAGTGCAAACGATTCCAAGTTGGCTAAGAAAATAATCTTTTTTCAACATGCAAAGCTCCATAAAGTAATAATAGTTTTTTAGTTACTTTACTTTTTCCACTTGAGCAAAATCTTAGTTTTGTCATTTTTGTTATCGTCAAACTGGACCTAAATTGGCGATAATCTAAATATACACTATGCCTTTCTGTTTAAAGTCGTGACACTCAACTACACCTCTAATCTTCATTTTTGTAGCAGGCCTTAAGGCATAAAGATTGAATAAATAAACAAAATAAATAAAGTCTTTTGCTGTTTATTCATGATCTTTGTGGAGAAGTAGTTCAAAGCTCTATCACATTCAACTACTCAGCATTTTCACTATTAGTAAAGGACAATTATGCCTTAACATTAAATATCAAAAGTCACTTTGATTTTCGAGACTTCCTTTCGTGCCCTGAAAGATACTGAGATGGCTAATTCGGTATTTGGTAGCATACAACTTTCCTCTAATAGTGAATAAAATAAAGATGTGAACTGTCATTTGAAGCTTGATCAAGAAAACGAAACTTTCTCACATTCGTGCTTCAAAGAATTAGGGCATCCCACTTCTTTGCGCCTTTTCTTTGGGATGTAAGTTCTACTTAAACAGAATTCAAATTTTAATTGTCGTAGAAGTTTCTTTCTAGAGATACCAAACACTGGACAAATCCTTGTCTGCAGCGTTGTAGAAAAGCGACCGAAATTACTCATTAGCCACCCTAACATTTGTTATAATCATCTTTGAATGAGATGTTTTCGTTTTGTATAGTGCTTTTGTTGCTCTCAGCAGATTCAAAATGCACTATTATTACGTAGAAATTTCATTCTCAACCGTGGCAGTTGAAGTTGACAAGGTGACCACTGAAGCACGTTATACTTTTTGATTGTCGATGATCAGGGAATTTGGAACTTGATGATAATGCAAAGCGATATTTATCCCGTTCTTTGTTCTGAATTTTTTTTCGTGAAGTCACTCAGTATTAGAGTAAGATCTTATCCTCCGGAAAATCTCATGAAGAATAAAAACGTCTAAATTGTCAACCTCAAGAAATGCTACTGGTAACTATAAGGTAAAACTGATCTCGAAATTGTTTTGGGAAAAGTCATTTGTGGTTTTGGGGGATTTTCAGCATTGAATCGAATATTAGGGTAGAGCCTGAAGACTGCACTTTTTAGAAAAATTAAGTCCAATAACGCTAACCTGATTTATAAATTTCGTAGCCACATGTGAAAATGACATCATTCTTGGTCACTCAAATAGTTTCGCTACAAGAACTTTATGTTGGGATTAATTCACGCAACGTTCCTTCCTAATCCTAATCCCACATTAGTGCTGATTCATAGCCTTAGCGAAACTCGTCTAACATATGACGATGACCATGTGAAAGCGTTCAGATAATCTATTTAGCGGCTATACGTCATTAAACAGTAGTTGTATTAAGCGTATATGGCTTTTAAAATTTGTCGTTTTCCACAAGAAGGTTCTAGAAAACTTTGAAGTTAAGTGTAGATGTAGACTTTCCAGAAATCGGCAATCAAAAGCATAAAGAATTATGGTGTTCCTCCTTCTATCCATATATTTTGCGCTATGTTCTCTCTCTCATTCCATTTTGCTGATCGATATTGAAAGACTTGAAAGAAGTTCACTATGAAAAAGCTTTTCGGTTTCCGCACAGTTCCCAATCAATCTAAGCTATCAGTTTTAAAAGAAAACAATAGAAAAGTTCTCTGAAAATTTGCACTTTCAGGAAATGCGTGTATGCCCGGATATGAGGCAGAAAGAGATAAACTGAGAGAACATCTCGGTATCGAGTGGGTACCAGGAGGCTTGAAGCACAACGGTATGTATACTGTAGCTTGTTCATCATCAAGTTTCGCAACTCGGTAATCGCCGAGTTTGTGCTCTAAGTCAGTCAACTAAGCTGTATTTCTCCAAATAAATGCTATATGTATTTACTAATTCATTGTATTATTAGGTTGTCCCATTAGTCGTTTCATATGTACGAAATTCGTTAGAGGTCCGATTTTCCGAAAGAGGATCTGATTTTTTTTCATTTTTTGGGCATTCAAATCTTTTTTTGTTCGAACTTTTTGGATCACACTTGATGTGAACCATTGAAAGTCATTTCTAGAGACTGCTATCCTCTATCGAAAGGTTTCCCGCATCCTATGAGTAATTTGCAAAGAGAAGGCTTTGCGGTAAAGTTTTGAGTCTGAAAATTTATGTGACACCGACCCCCAGCAGGCTAACGCAAAAATTTTTGCGTTATTCGAATGAGATTCCATTTTTTCTATACTGTAAAAATAAAGTCATCATTTGGTTTTGGAAAATTACTAAAAGATTCGCCATTCACAACAGATGTCAAAGCATAGCTTTTCATACACTAGACATTAAGAAAGAAGCTTTTAAATATAGCCTTTCGATTCTTGCAATATTGAGTGTGTTGAAAGAAAACTGCCGAGGGCCACTAGCTAGCCCGGATCTATAAACATTTCTTACATCACAGCTGTCCATTCATAGTAGCAGACCGTTCTTGCATGTTGCAAAAACAAAAAATTTTGAAAGATGTAATATTGCAAGAAAACCCCTTATCCTGCACTCTTCATAAGAACACAGCTCGGAACCAGAAACTAAAGCAGTGTGACGCTTTTTCTGGACGTCAAACAATGTTTTTGTTGAGAAGTGCAGTAATAAAAAGATTTTTTCTGCAGAATGACATTTACCACGAAAATTTTGTTCTCCCATTTTCATGCAAAAATGAAGCCTGTTACGGTGATGTATGGGCTGCTGCTACATAACAAATTTTACAGATTTTTCGGGGGAGGTAGGCTCAAATTTTCTTGCACCAAATTCAGAATCGCAAAATTCGAAAAGCCATTCAAAGTTTCGTTGTCGGTGGTTAGCTTATGATAAGCTACGCTTTGATACTTCTTGTAAGCGCAAACCTTCTGTTATTTTAAGAAAACAAAATCATGAATCCAAGTTCGCTATCTCAAAAATTATCATTTCGTAATCATGCAGGAATAACTATCACATTACTTGAACATAATGTGGCTATATAAAAAAAACAAGTTTTAGAAAAATAAGATGGGACATCAGATACAAACACAGAAATAGATTTACCTTCGATCTTTGATCCATTGCAATCAACATGTCAGACATCCCCTCCCCCCTATCTGAAATTGAAAATCTTTGTAGATTTTCTTTTTCTTGCTTTTTGCGACGTTTTGGAAAACCGTGGTATTTTGCCTTGAGAAACGAGGGATCTCCAAGTGAAAAACTTATGTTTTTTCTTCAAGATTCAAGAATTTTGTGTTCACGTGATGCACCATGTGCAGTATGGGCCTGCAGCGTATTACTGCAAATCCTTAATGATGTTAGACCGGCTAATAATATGTTCGTCTGCTCGCGATAGCCAACTTTCACGCGTCCTTGAAAGGGATATCCGCTCCCGAAAGCGTGCTAGGCATTGTCTTCCGACAATCGGCGCGTTTGTTACGATCCATAGATAGAATGAGAGTCTTTGCAATTGGGGCACTTGAGGGAAAGTTCTTGATTACATTGGAGGATTGAAATTAACAGCTACGCTTCAGAAATGAATGGATTGTAGCGCCAAAACCACCAAACAATTGAGAGAAACCATCATCCTGTGATATTAGGTTGTCCCGAAAGTTTTGTCGGTTTGTTTCATCGCTCACTAAAACCCAAAGAACACCAATCCGTGGACAACCAGGTATCATTTGATTCAGATTTTCATCCTCTTTCATACAGCTATGATTGCTCTCTGATCTACCCTGTCCTTGCAATGTTATCGCCACGGCTTTTTGAGCAGTTCAGCATTAACGCCAAATCTTTTCTGAATTTAAAAAATTTTTATCCTGATGTTTTTAGAGAGCGCTAGTGACTATTATGTAGAGCAAATCTTTGGCTACATTATATTTATTTTAGATTACATAGGCCACAATTTGTAAGTCCGTTAATTATTTATTTGAGAAAAAACTGCGGCTTTTTGATTACTTCCACCGCGTAAAATTACCGAAAATTCCAAAAAGCTGGTTTTTCAAAGAAAATTAAACTTGGTTATGTTGCATAATTATTGTTTATTAGCTGTTAGTTGTTAGTTATTATTGTTGTTTATTAGTTGTTGTTAGTTGTTGTTTATTAGTTGTTGTTAGTTGACTGTTTATTAGTTTGTTTATTAATTATTGTTCATTTTTTTCGATTCGCAGAAATTTCAAAAGCTTTCATGTTTTTGCTGCAGTTGCGTGTTTCATGACTTTGCCAAGCATCGAGACCTCCAAAGAAATAATTTTTCAAAGCTAAAACAGCAGGTTAGGAGAATCTAAAAATATCACCTTGTAGTCCGAAAATTGTTCTATTCGTGCCATACTTAGTCACCTCCGGAACACTGAAATGAAATTTTTTAAAATTAGCCTAACTTTGAGCAGATAAAAATGACGGGTGAAGAATTGTAACAATTATCAAAAAAGCATACAGGTTTGTCGCTTGGAAATGCAACCGTAAGAAAGAGAAGGAAAGGCTGCATTGAAACTCATTCAGGTCTTTATTATACATAGTTTTATAATGATAAAAAAAACCGACAAAACTTTCGGGACAACCTAATATCTTGTATTTTTTCGTCACGGGAAAATCTTAACCACGGATTATCAATTTTGTAGCAAATTTATCAAATCGCGGAATTTGTTTATTTTTGTAAATTTTAGTAATTTTTTTCTATGGTTTGAGGCCTTAACTAAGCCGTTGTCCAAAGGCAGCTCATACGATTCATTCGCAATTGAGAATCTCAACTCCCAATTACGCTGTCTATGTACTCGCTCAAAGCGCATCAGTTGCATCACTCGAATACGGTAGTGGGCGAATGTTTATAGTTCGATTCCTCTTCCCTGAAAACAAACATTACATACCATTTCCAAACTGATTTTTTATACGTACCCTGAAGTTGACCTCGGCTCGTCTTTTTATTTCCCTACGATTGCTTCATATGATACTTTTTGCTCTACGGCTGAGGTACATACTACTTCAAATAAATAAATAGAAAGGACCCAAATTTCTCTTGAACTTCCTTAAGCTTTTTAGAGAAGTTATATGTTTTCTGTAAAAAGTTAAGTAGGTTTTAATCTGCTCTCACAAGGGAAGCTTGTTTGGTCGAAGTGGCCTTTCCAAATGAGATGTATACCATATTAAAGCGCATAAAACGCTGATTCCAAAACTGTCTTCCTTATCTGCAGAACGTTTATGGACGAGAAGTTATGAGCGTTTTTTGGAGCCAAAAAATGATGTGCATTTTGAATAAAATGAGTTGTTAAAATCTTACTAGCCTTCAAATAACGTAACCAATTGTGGATAATTTTTATTTTAGAGTAATTTTCAAGTGAAGTGTTCTGGTGATTATCATTGCTCCGTTGAAGAGCTAGAAAAAGTATTACGGTTATTTTTGTCACACTTGCACATTCAATTTTTGTCTCCAAAAAACGCTCATAACTTCTCGTCCATAAACGTTCTGCAGATACGGAAGGCAGATTTGGAATCAGCATTTTATGCTCTACAATATGGTGTACATCCCATCAAAAAAGGCCACTTCGACTAAACAAGCATTCCTTGTCAGTAGTCTCATGCTGATTTTTGCTTTTCCAACATTTGTAATATCTCTTTTTTTTGCTTCAAAGTGGATTCGGTTCACTCGAGAGTCTATTCGCCACCTAATTGCTACTTAATTATTACTTTTTGTTTCATTTAGTGAGGCTGAGTGTAATAGAGGCTGTCTTATAAACTATTTAGTTGAATGAATAGTCGAGAAATGGTTAAGGTCAAGTTTTTCAGCATGGTCTGAAGACAAAACTATAAGGCATTCATCGGATCTAGACTGTAATTTTGCCGATCCACAAAAGTGCAGGTGGAAGAACGTGGAGGACAAATGGGGACTGGACTCGCTGGATTTTCATCTTTTCGAGAAAGTCGATTTCACCGAGTTTCCTGCACTGAGAGTTGGACCCGGCCCTACAAGGGTTCATCAAGGTTTGTCGAAGCTTTTCTTTTTATTATTGCCGTAATTTTAGTATCAGGGCTCGGCACGAGGTGGCTGTCTAAGAATGCAAAAAAAGCCGAAGTCCCCCTTGACTTTCCCAAATTTTACGATGCCCCTTTGACTCTAAACTATTATCCTAAAAAACCTCCAAACGTCGACAAAAAAAAAACGTCGCAAACTTTGTCTCTTTTCGGCCACAAAAACGAAACTTCCTTTGCTTTTTGGCTCAAAAACGGTAACCAGCTTGCTTTAAGCCACCTGTGCCGAGCCCTCTTTGATAATATAATCCAGCAAAAGTATTTTTTTCAAAATTCTTCCCATTGCAGGTGAGAAAATGATTTTCACTGGTGACAAAAAGAGAGAAGAACAGCACGCCATCTTTATTTCTTCACTTATTGGATGTCAGAATGCGACTGGAAATCTTACTTTCACGTAAGTTGCGAGCTAATAAACCTGTAAATCACTTCAAAGCTAGCGGTTCTAGATATTGGGCTTATAACAGTGCGCAAGTTGAAATTGTACTCTTCGAAGATAAACCCGGTGGAGGATTTAAGATGTTGCCAGAGAAACCATACGTGGATTGCGGTACGATGTAGTTGCAATTAAGTGTATAAAAAAAATTTTTTTTTGAATTTACTGTATCAGACGACCTTCATCGAATGTGATGACTTCTACTTTGCCTAAAACTATACACGTCACGAACTGAGATTTACTCTGACCCTAACACGTCGCCAATATCCAAATCATCAAAATCTTGCAACTTTATGGACGGCTTGTCTGAAATGTTCTGAATGTTAAAAATAGAGGGCTCTTTGTAGCACCTTTTCGTGCGCAGATTTCGATTATTTATGCTCAACGTCTAGATATTGATTTACAGAGCTTCCAGTAATCGAAAAAGAAACTTTTTAAGGACTTCTTCCTGCTAAATCATGGATTGTATGTAGGTTACGGTCAATTACGCATAACTCCAAACAACACGAAATGTGGTTTTGCAGTCATTCATTTGTTCAAAACCTTGGCATCAACTTGATCTAGAACACCACAATTCATAATAAGAGAGAAAAAAGTTCTTGAACATTCCGTTTCGTTCCTTTCCTTAGACGGAGTAAAGGACTCACAATCAGAACTCTCTCCGGAACTTCTCAGCAAGGAAGGAGAGTCCATAAGTCGTGTGCATATTTTAGAATAGGTTTAAGATAACATTTTGAATGTTGTTAAAATGTCAAGTAGGCTAAATAATAATTCGTTGTGGCATGCAAACCCTCAGAAAAAAAAATTTTCTTACACATACACTCATTTCTTCATATTTACTTCGTAAGTTGTATATTTTTTGAAGCCTGTACCTCCCACTATCGAAAGGAGAACTGGATAGAGTTCACTTCGATAAAAACTTTTGCCAATCATCGTTTCATTTGATATAAGATCTCCCCATTCTTGTTGTCCCATTCTTGTTGTTTTCAGGTACTGTGAAAGTGAATACAGAATGTCGTGCCGACATTCCGCCTCGAGAGACACCGTTCAGGTGATCAAGTAATAGGCTTACCTTGCAAGTTTCTGAAGATAATTTTCAGGATCGGTATTCGTGCCTATGACATGGCTACTCCAGAAGGTTCTTTTGTGATGTTAGATAACATCCTATACACGGCATCTCTCTGCAAGGTCGCGAGTGAGTAATAAAAATTCTTAAGTCTAAGAGATTCAACGCTATAAATTGAAATTTCTAATTTTGGAAATTCATAGTTTAAACTTTATTTTCTTTGTTTCTCTGTGATTTATATTTTAGGGAAATACAGTTAAAAAATTCTTTGATTTTTTGAAGATTATTTAGATGTGGTACAAATCATCCGTGAGTTGCCCAAATTGGAGTAAGTTGTAGCAAAGTGCATAGTAAACTACATTTAATGGAGCCTTATAATAAATCAAAACTTTTTTTTTGTTCTGAAAACAAAAATTGAAATTTTATTTTTGTAGTTTTGAGAGCTAGTTTGAGATAATTGTTGACTGTTAATCAGAAGGTTTACTCTTGAAATAATGTAGTTTAAAATAAAAATATTAGATTGTAAATCTAAGAGTTATTCATGTTGATTATAAATTTTTGATAATTATTTTAATAATAGTTTTTATTCAGGCCATTTTTATTGCTTTGTATGAGCGTCATTTGTTGGGTAGTAGACAGAATCATTTGAGTCATACGAATTGTTGTGGATAAGAAAATCTCCACAACTCGTCAATAATGAAGGAAAGCTGTAGGAACTGAAAACGACTAGCAAAGAAACTCACATCGGTCTTCTCCTTTCTTCTGCGTTTTTCCAAGTAGTCTTCCATACCGTGAAAATTATATGAAAGCAAGAAATTTGACTATGAATGAAGCAGAAAGGATAGAAGAAGAAAGGTTTCAGGGCAAATTACAAATTACAAATTGGGACTATATCCAAATGGTCTGGACAGTCTTTCTTTCTTTTATCTGATTCTTCGAAATAATAATATCATATCCAGTCGATATGGGTGATGGATTCATGGCGGTCCCGTTGCGGTCGTCAGCCACAGGAAAGCCGATAAGATCAGCCGCTGATCTTGACTGCAAGGACTTTGATGCTTGTCGATGGAGAACTGGCGGCGAGGCTGCGAAGGTATATTCAGCCTTTATAAAGGTTTAAGATGTAAAGAAGTTCCCTTTCAGCCATGGCAAATGTCATCGAGTCCACTTCCTCGCGAGCTTATCTTTAGCACGACTGGTAATTATGTCGGACCTGAGGGAACCTACAGCGTACTTTACATAGAACAGGATACAAAAGTACGAATTATTAATTTATTTATCTGTTCAAATGCTGTCGCAATGTTGAGATAATGCAAAAGACGAGGAGAGACTATCAAATATTTGTTACATCAAAACCTTCTCCAATCTTTAATGAAAATGAGATACATTTAGTTAACCTTGAAAAGAAGGAGATGATACATTTGCATGATTTTGCCAGATTCTTCTTGGATGCCTTAAGTCACCAATTGAACTCCGAATATGTACATCTCGTAAGTTTCATTGCCTTCGTGCTGTTCCCTAATTAGAAAGGAAGGGGGAAGGCACGCATAATAAAATAGTTATCATTTTTGGGCTAGAAACGATGTGGGAAATGTGTGGCTTGTCTGGTCGCTTCTCGTAAAGCTCAATATTTGGAAGTCAAGATGAGAATAAATATGGCCTTTAGGCGCGCACGGCGAGTCGTCACATTCAGGGTCAAGCGTGGGGTGCGGCACGCCACACCTGGGGGGTCGTATTGATTAGTCAAAAGGGGAGGGGGTCGTAGTTGGGTAATCTGATAATAGTGATAACATGATATTTGTACCATATCCATAATTAGCATGTCAGTTAACCCCTGTAGACAAAGTGTGAGCGAATTCTGAAGATTCAAGATACTAGGCTACCTAAATGAAGTGGTCAAATTCCAACATGGTTATTTGTTTAAAAGGTGAATTAGCTATCCGTTTTTGCACTCAAGACAAAGCACTACTCCTTCTTTGTCCACCTCAGGAATACCGCTTCAGAAGACCTGCAAACTGTGGAATTAGAAGCCAACCAAAATCTCGTTTTTCCCACTTTTCGCTTTTGATCGCTGTGCTTTCACCAAATATTACTCAGAGATAAGAAGACGAATCAGGCTCCAAACAGTCCTATGGAATCTACAAGGTTTGGGCTATCGATTCATATAAATACTGTCCGCTAAAAATGTTTTTTTGATATAGTTAATGGGATGCGGCACACTACCTTAAAAGCTGCGGCTGCCGCAGCTTTTAAGGGGGTGTGCCGCACCCCCCTAACTTGCCTTCAAAATCCAGAAAGCGCTCCATTGCTGGTATAAGTATTGAGCACATAGCTTCTTCTTGCTACACTGGAAATTTGGAGCCGAACGCCCCACCCATAAGAAAACTATGGCCCTTTCAATATGCCCATTCAGATCAAAATCAGCCGTCAAATTACGTGTGATTGTAAAGTGCAGTCACAGAAAATCGGGCGTACAGCTCTCAGAAATCTGAAAACTCTCTAGAAAAAAATGGTGTCCTCCAGAATGTCACACTTTGAGGTCCAGAGGTTAAGAGGAGGAAGAAGGGGTCGTTTGAGGGCTTTCATGGGAGGGGGGAGAGTTGTTTTCGAAAGATTGTGCCTGACCTCTTTCTCAACTCTGGTAATGCTATCTTAGGTATAGTTCGGGGGGGGGGGGGGTCTTATTAAGACAGCAGTCAGGGGGGGGGGGGGAGGTCGTAACCAGCGATCGTGTGCCACACCCCTTGCTTGACCCTGGTCACATTTCACGATTTTCTGGAGTTTTGGAAAGTCGTGAAATTAGGAGTTTTTGAACTCTTTTTGAACTCGATGTTATTTTTGCATACAATGAAAGAAATCTACTCACACAAATTCATGGTAATTCACTATAAATCGAAGGAAAAGTACCGAAACTCCTCAAAATCCAACGCTCGAAGTACACTCTTTTCTAGCTTCAGTAACTTTCGGGTGAAGCAATGTACAATATCGCTCATAAATAGTCAAAAAAGTGACCGAAGTCGAAGTCTACGTTGCATCGCCATATCTTGAATCAGAGTGGAAAAATTCCGAATCTATGGTTTGGTGGGTACCAAGTGATTAGGGGGTAGACGAGTTGTGGAATAAGGTTTATTCGCACGGGCGTAGATTATTCGAGAAGAGTGAGGTGTCCCGGTGTGGACCGGGGAGCAACCTCTAATACATTCGGAGGCTCCTTATATAGGAAGGAAGGCGGAGCTGAACCGAGTAAAAGGTATAATGTACACGAGTTGGTGCTTGAAAGGAGATGCCGCCGATTGGCTACACTCCTGGCGCACGGGTACCACTCACTCTTGAGTGATTAGACAATCAAGAGTGAGTAGCTCACAATTTAGCCTACGGGTATTCCGTAGGCTATCTAGAATATAGAGTTCATTAATGGTTGATGATACAGAAATCATCAACACTCCGGGCGAGCGAGAGGAAAGTGAGATCTGGTAAGATCCTAATTAGAGTGGCAGATACATGTGAAGTTGACTAGCGAATAAGTTAATACCTACGCATACAGAAAAATGAGCTATGAAGGAGGATTTGCAAGTAACTTGAACATACACACAAGAGTACAATTATCAACGTAAATTTATAAAAGCATCTGAAGTGATCGCTGGAGCTGGTGGGCGGTTTGGCGCTGCTTGTCGTCCTCGCCATTTCCTCCTCTTCCACTTTGAATCGGTAGCTGCTTCGTTGACGACCATATCCTTGATAGACGGGGTTCTTACACGATGTATGTACTCATGATGTCTTCTCTCCGGTGTGTTCGTCATCCTTATCTTGGCTTCATTGTTTGTGAACCGCTGCGGTCCATTCTATCCCATATCGGGGGCGGACATTGGAGTTCGTCGTGGAGCGTATTGTGGCCAACCAACGTTGTCTGTCTGCTCGAGCTTCAGCGAGGATGGAAGCATTGACTGTTGACCTTGTAAAGGTGGATTGTCGGCTTTTGGTTGAAGAGCATGGTTGTAGCATCGCTCGTGACGGAATCGTTCTCCTTTGGATTGTTCCTTCATTTTGCTTTGGCAATAATGGCTTGTTGCATGTTCGAGTGTTCGCACTGTTCAAATGAGAGTACGCTTTGGGTTTCTTCAATCTCTCGTTGTGTTGTGGAGTTGGGCGGTTGTTCCTCAGTGTTTTCTTTAGCGCTGATATGCAGCCGAATGTGCCGATGAATCTTGATGTGGTGATAGTACAGCTCGTCCCTGATATAACGAATCCGAAGATGGTTGGGGTCAGAATGAGCCCTGAAGGAAGCTTGCGCACTCTGTCGTTGTGGATAGTGACGAGATTTAGGAGATCTTGTCCTATGATCATGTCGGGTGAAACGCTTTTGCAGGAGAGCGTATCTTGAGCGATTATCAGCTTTTCATCAGAGATAAAACGCAAGTCTGCTTCCGTGAGACTTGCTGTCTGCATGTCGGTAGTCAGCTTGCTTAGTGTGTACTGACAAGTTCTTGAGCTTTTCGGAGCTGTGAAGACTTTTCAAGGTGATTTGTACTTCAAATGAGTTGAATTGCTCTTGTTGCTCGCCCATCCCAGATGTAGTAAACGAAGTAGTACGAAGGACTGGAAGCTTGAGTTCTTCACAAAGTCCTGATTTGATGAAACTTCGTTGTGCACCGGAGTCAAGTAGTATCGTTACCGGCTGGTAATCCCACTCTGCCTCGTTGAATATGGTTGCCGAAACAATTTGAAGAATGCATTGATCCTGTGCAAGTGGAAGCACTTCGGGATTGTAGACTTCTTGTCGTGAGCCTTGTACGACGTGCGTAGTACTCTTCTCATGACGATCCTGACTGATGTCACGGGATGACCAAGGAGCAGGTGAATGTTGATCAAGTGCAGGATCTCGGTATTGTGTCGAGAATCTCCTGCGTTTTCCTGCTTCTGACAAACAAAGAGACCCATGGTGTGATCCTTTGCATTTGGGGCACATGCCAAAATTCGTGCAAGCGTTAGAGTTGTGATCGCTTGCAAAACATCTCCAACACACTCCTTGATTTGCTGCTTCAAGTCGTCGGGCTTCTGGTGTGGTGTATCTCTGACAGGTGTGAGGAGAATGTGGTTGTCCACATAAACACAAGTGTTTTGATTTCGAAAAGTGTTTTTCTCTATCGCATCTGGTAGCCTTTTCATCTTCTTGGTTGTTTGGGTAGTAGTTGGTTGGAAAGAGAGTTTCCGTTGTTAGCAAGATTGTCTCTCGCATTGAAATGATGCTGTCGATGGTGTTCAGGATTTCGCTAACATCAAATGGATCATCTTGTACCGCTTCTTTCTGGATGGCGGTCGTACAGATGGATTCGGGAAATTTGGAAAAGATTATTCGACGCCAAAGTCTGTCTGCGTTCATCTTTGCTCCCGTTTGCTCCAGGTGAATGATCCTTGAGTTGATTGCTTCGAAAGTGTTTCGGCAACTTCTCGGATCATCTGAGGCCCTGAGTAGTTTTTCGATCTCGTTTATAAGTATATCTGCCATGTTGGCAGAGCGATCGAAATGTTTCTTCAAGATATCTATCGCTGTCTGATATCTTTCTCCGATGACGGGTATGCAGCTCAAGGTGGCTGCTGCTTTCCCCTTTAGTGCTTGCTTCAGAAAGAGGAACTTGTCAGTGTCGGATAGGTCTTCGTCGGCGTGGATGAGAGATTCAAACACTGTCCAGAAGCTGTTGAACTCTCTGAAGTTCCCTGAGAAGGTAGGGATTTCTAGCAGAGGCTTCCGGATTTTTATTTGCCTTTCGTTGCGCTGTGGGGGGCTGCTGTTCCAGGTCTGGCCTTCGTCGCTGGCTGCATGACTTGATGTGCTTGGCACACTGGTGAGCAATAATGCAGCTTGATCCTTCAATTCGTTTTGACGGAACTGAACTTTGTTCTGCCACTGCACAACCTTGACTTCCAAATGAAGAGATTCCAACTCCAAGTGTTTGCTGAGTTCTGTCATAAGCTTGTCTCTCTCTTTTTCTTCATTTCGTGCTCCAATGTATTCGATCGCGGCGTTCACTTGTGTGTCTTGAAGTTTAACCGCATTTTGCAGAGAGTTGAGCAAATGCGTTATCTCTCCCATTTTGGTTTTGATGTACATCTCGCATTCAGTCCTTTCTACGGGGAAAGTGAATGGTGTGTTGATTTCGTTCACTTCCGACTCGTATGACTTCACGAGTGCGCAGGCATTGTTGATTTTTGACTTGAAAATCTGGAGCGCTGCCAGAAAATCTGGAGCGCTGCCATTTTCTGTTTTGCTGCACGGGGTAGGGTCATGCACTGATGTAGTGATTCCAAGCGTTTTAATTCGGACGTGTGTATCCTCCTTTTGTTGGTCGCTTTGGCTTGAGGGCGACAGCAGGGCTGGCCTCGATACGATAGCTGTCCTTACTAGTTGCAAGGAGCTTTCTAGTGAGCTGGCAAGTGGGTGCCGAGCGTCTACTAGCTGTCAGCAAGCGCGCCTGGTTGGCTTGTGCGCTGTACTGGACGGTAAGGTGTTGGAACCTGTCCCGTGAATGTAACGATCCAAAGCTCAAGATCTGTGAACCAACCGTGAATGAGCTTGGAAAGTTGAGATTTCTTTGCTAACTGTGGATGGACCAGTCAGTCAGCTAGAAAATCTCCTTGCTAAGCTATGGATATGACCTGATAGCTTCGCAAGATGAAACTCGTTTGTGAAAGTGGATGAACCAGCAATCACAGAGTGTTTTTGGCTAATGGAAGCCAAAAAAGTTCGAGGATTTCTGTTGCTAACTGTGGATGGACCAGTCAATCAGCTAGAAAAATCTCTTTGCTAAGCTATGGATATGACCAGATAGCTTCGCAAGATGAAACTCGTTGTGAAGGTGGATGAACCAGCAATCACAGAGTGTTTTTTGGCTAATAGAAGCCAAAAAAGTTCGAGGATTTCTGTTGCTAACTGTGGATGGACCAGTCAGTCAGCTAGAAAAACCTCTTTGCTAGGCTATGGATATGACCTGATAGCTTCGCAAGATGACTTTTGTTGTGAAAGTGGATGGACCAGCAATCACAGAGTCTTTTTGGCTAATGGAAGCCAAAAAAGTTCGAGGATTTCTGTTGCTAACTGTGGATGGACCAGTCAGTCAGCTAGAAAACCTCTGCTAAGCTATGGATAGGACCTGATAGCTTAGCAAGACTCGTATTAGTAAAAGTGGATGAACCAGCAATTACTAGAGTCGAATATTGGCTAATTAGTAGCCTAGAGTGCGAGGAGTCTCTCGCTAACTGTGGATGAACCAGTCAGTTAGCTAGAAACCTCTACTAAGCTGTGGACCTGACAGCTTAGTAAGACTCTTGATCGCGAAAGTGGATGAACCAGCAATCACGAGAGTCGAATAATTGGCTATAGAGCCTGCCACGCGGGTCTTAGGCCTTGATTTCTCGTGTCCTTAGAAGGATTCGCCGAGGAAATGCAAGGAAATCACTGGCCGATGCACCAATTTGGTGGGTACCAAGTGATTAGGGGGTAGACGAGTTGTGGAATAAGGTTTATTCGCACGGGCGTAGATTATTCGAGAAGAGTGAGGTGTCCCGGTGTGGACCGGGGAGCAACCTCTAATACATTCGGAGGCTCCTTATATAGGAAGGAAGGCGGAGCTGAACCGAGTAAAAGGTATAATGTACACGAGTTGGTGCTTGAAAGGAGATGCCGCCGATTGGCTACACTCCTGGCGCACGGGTACCACTCACTCTTGAGTGATTAGACACTCAAGAGTGAGTAGCTCACAATTTAGCCTACGGGTATTCCGTAGGCTATCTAGAATATAGAGTTCATTAATGGTTGATGATACAGAAATCATCAACATATGGCATCGTTCGACTCAGAGTTAAATGCATCTTCTGATATAGAAAAGTGTCCGTATAGATACGATAGGGCACTGCGAGTCGTCAAATTTCACAGTTATTTGAAGAATTTTGGTACACTAGGATGTGCTTATTCATTGCACAATGGGTAATCTACCGTAGGCAAAATCCATGAAATCTGGCTGCCTACTGCATTTAAACAAGCATTTCTAACAATGAGATCACAGCGTATGCCTCTGAACTGACATGAGCATACAAAGTAGTACGGAGATGCCGCAAACAGCTACAGCGCATTCGAAAAATCGTGACGATGGCGCGACCGCGAGCGACACGCACGCATCTCCCTGCAACTGGCTCCCGTGGGCGCAAAGACCGCAGTCAAAGCCGTCGTCAGGATTTTATAAACGACTTATACTTACATGACTAAAAGGCAACGGTAATTTAGCGAATTACTTTCTTTGCCTGCGCGAAGCTGAACCTGGGTCCTAATGGTTTATGATATTAGCTCAGAAAAACCTTCGAAGTCCTAAAAACTATTTGAAAGGTTTTTTCGAAGCTTTTTTGGCTTTCTCTTGATGTCATCATTCAGTTCTTTGCCAGTGGAACACGAGACTTATCTCACATAATAGACAATATAATTCAGGGACCCCTCGACTTCTTGCGTTCGGATCCAATCAGCTGTCAAAGCCAAACTGAAAACACGCTTTCACTGAGGTAAGGATCTCCTGATCTCTTATGCCCGCTGAATATAAGGCTGTTCAAGGTTTTGGAAAACGAGGGAAGTCGAACTTGAGGCTTGCGCACTGTCTCTGATGGGAGAGGAAATCGAATGTCACGGACTCCCATCGGAAATGAGTCCAGCTCCGGTCTCAGTATCGTTCTCGAGCGCTGCTAAGAATTTTGTGGTCAGTGATTTTAGGCTTGAGCTCAGATGAGCTGACTTTGTGAATTTAGATAGTCATTCGAGTCAAGTCTTTCAATCGTGACTTCGACTCAGTTGTCATCATTGACGACATCTCCTACCGAGCCACGTTATGTAGCGATGCATTGAGCGTTTTCGACTTGGGAGAGCACTTCCTCAGCACTCCGATGCTCAGCTTGTTGCTCAATAGAAACGTCAACTCACCAAAAGTGAGTCGATTATCGATTTAGTAATCGAATGCTGACCACTGCATTTTCTCAGGAACTCTCTTGCGATTTTTCTCGAAGAGCTGCAGACTGCGTTTGGGGTTCTACGGAGTCTACAGCTGATAACGAAGATACAGAGATTGCCGAAAACCAATGGACAGTGGGACATGGCCCACTAAACCAAGAAAAATTCTACTCGCTTACGGGTCTAAATAATATGCCGGGTTAGTGTCATTAATTCAACCAATTTTCTACGTTCAAACATATTTATTTCAACTCTATCAAAATTTCGACCTGATTTAAAAACTTCCTGTCGTTAAAAAACCGAAGCTTTCCGGCCAATTTTTTATCCAAATTTTTTTCGCTATGTTCGCTAAGTCCCTTCAATGGCTTAGAAATTAATCCGTTAGAACATTTGCAGTACCCTCAATTAAGGGTGTTAAGCTTTTAACATCACACGATAGTAGGTCTCTTCAAGTCAGTGCCCAAGTCGCGGCGCAAAATTTCGCTTCGGAAGCGAGAAAATTGCTTTGGATCAAAAAAAGAGCAGAGAATTTCTAAGCGGCACGCGCAACGCCCTTTAGTAATGCCCGCCCATCCGTGCCTGCACAACCAATCACCATTCACTTCGGAAAATCCTGCGAATTCTCCGGAAGTCGGAATTATCGCGCATTCTCGACTTCGTATTCGGAATCAGGGACATGAGAAGGCCCCGGAACAACAAAAATATGGAAGTCGAGAATCTAGGTGCCTTTGAGTCATTCGCCCCACATAGACGTGGTGCTAGAACGATGGGCAGTCACCATGAAATTTAAGCCTGCCATCTCTATTTTCATCCGCTGTCTCTAAACAATAAACTAACTAATCAAACTTTGCACGATTACACCTAAAAATACACGTAGAGAATCAGATCAATAATTACCATTTTTTGCTAGATGGAGAATTCGCGGTAGCACGAATGGAAACGGGAGGATCGACGATGCTATTGTCCGAAGTGATTCGCTGTGTCCTCAACGAGGTCAGCATCCAGTTCAATCTGTGGCTCACTGGAACTGCCAAGTTACAGGTAATAAGTGACTGGATATCGATAAGTAGTGAGTTACTTACAGCCGGCGTTTAGGTGTGTCTTGTAGATGAATCGACGCCTTCGTTACTCGATTGCCAAGCAGCTGCTGCTGGTCCTGTAGTTGTGGACCTGCCCAGGATTGAGAGGCCGTTCCGGATCGCGCTCAGAGCGGAATCGCCAGATCAAGGAATGGTGATCGTTGATGACATTAAAGTCCAGGTAAGCATTGTTGAGGTAGAGGATGAAGATAAGACTAACGAAGGATACCAGCTTGATCTGAGAATCGAAAGGAGATTTGTTTTATATCACTAAAAGCGTCTTTGAACGCTCTTTGGATCTTTCTTTTTCTGCAGAATAACTCTCCAAAAGAAGTTATGGGTATTTGAATGTCCAAATTTGTCAAGCCTCAAAGTGGCATAAAAGGAGGCGAAAAGCTGGACAAAATCATTGTCCCTGATGTGGTCTATATACTTGATACGAGATAAATTGCCCACTTTTGGGTGTTTTGAACAGCTTTTCGCCAATTTTATGCCACTTAAGATTTGACTAATTTGGACATTCAAAGTTACCTCGGAGAATTGCTCTGAAAGCAGATTTGCATTTTAGGACGCGTTTAGTGACATGCATGTCTTTCTAGTATGCCAAATTAAGTTGATGTGATTCCCTTATTGGTAGTTTTGTAATCAGAATAATGGTCGTAAGGGCTCTGCAACGAGTTAGACACAAGTCCCTGCTTGCTCCAACATTCCAAAGATTCTATCCTTCTTTTCCAAGGCACTGCCGATCTTTCACACTTCTAAAATCTGACATTTCCTCATATCATGTAACCTTTGATTCGACTGGATTGGCGGCTGGAAGGCGGGGCTTTGTGACCCAATTGAGGCTGCTCGCGCCCGTGACGCAGTCGGCGTCTCGCGCTCGTGCTCATCATTCTCTAGCCCTAACTAGGTCACGAAGGCCCGCCTTCCAACCGCCAATCCAGTTGAATCAAAGGTTAAGCAGGGGCTTTGAAGTTCATTTCAATCCCGAGGTCAGAGAAATCCGGCGATCGTCTCAAAACACTTTTCGCGCATAGTATGAAGAATTCTAGAAGCATGAAGTCTCGCCTGAGACCGAAACCTCCAGCTAGCACCTTGAAAATCAGAGGGCAGAATTTTTTCGAGAAAGCCTCTTTCGCAACCAATCCCACAGTTCACTCTGGTTTTTTCTGATCGCCTTGCGAGTTTGCCATAGTGAAAAGGAGGACAAGTTCTGTTACATTTTCTCAAAAGCTTGCTAGTAACTGCTCTTCTCAAAACGCCGTGTGTACTGATTGTTCTCTGATGTAGGGGAGGGAACAAAAGATGAACAATTGAAACGATGGGATATTCTTGGATCAATCTAAGAAAAGTTCGAAAATTCTTAGGTTCAACGAAGGTTGACAGGGTGCAAAGGTCTACCCGACGGTACCGTCTGATCCGCGGTCAGTGCGCCAAACACTCATTTTATCGGTGGGATACGTTTTATGGACATTTTCGTCAGCGGCCCTGGCATTCTTCTAGATGATCGGGAAGAGACCGGGCGATATGGAAGTCGGGCAGGGTATGGTCCATGGTTTTTAGCGAATGTAAAGTGGTGGCACAAACATGTCCGCACATGTCACATGAGCTACATGTTGCGCCATGCCAGTGCACATTCACATTTCACCATGAAGGACAATTTTTAGAAAATTACAAAAAGTATTTCCAACCCCTCCGTATTGAACCCTACACGATGCACACAAAAAGGAAAATTCGACTAATTTTTGATTTATTTTGGCTTGTTTTTGCCCCTTGTTTTTGGCGTGCTAGCGGCACCAAAGCGCTGCCATAAAAGAGATGATGCGAAAATATGTTTTAAAAAAACATGGTAGAGATAAACACAATTAGACGCAGTAAAAAAATCAAAGAAAAAATGACAATTTTGAGTACGCTTATAAAAGATCGTAAACTTGCTAACTATTTGCGCACTTGCGACATCGGTCATACTGTTGTGTACGCGCTGCCGTAGCTTACATATGGAGCAACTTTGAATATTCTAGAGAACTTCTGGAATTTTTCCAGAATTACAAAAAAAGTGCAACAGAAATTATTCGCCAACCTAATACATGACTCATTCGTAAGGCATGATCGAGGATAGAGCATCTGACAAAACAGATGCTCTGTTTTCAAAGTCCGTGCTTCAAACTCACAACAGTCATCTGAGCTTCATTTGAGTAGTAGGAAACGAGAAATTCGGTCAGTAATAAGTCGCTAACGAGTACGAGGCGAGTGGAGGCTCATAGCTCTAAATCAGCCAGTTAAGATAGATCTAGAAATAAAGTACGGTGGAATGCGTAGCTTTATAGTTAAACTCTACAATCGCATACTTTCCAGCACTGGTTGACAATGAGGCCCAAAACATGGATTTCCCCTTTCTTTTTCTTATTTTTTTCTGTTTCCTTGGGCGCAATCGTTACTACTTATGCGTGACCTATTACTGTTCTTGCATTTTTTTCTATGAGGGCAGCATTCTGCTTCATCCTGAAAATCGTGCAGTTGCACAATTAGCGAAGCTACTGCATGACGAGAGCGCAGAAGCAGTATTAGTTGAGCGGGCGCGAACGCGGCCGATCCTCACTGTTGTAATTCCTGCGGCTCATGCGCTCTGCGGATAATAAAGCCGCGTTCGCGCCAGAAATCTTGCGCCTTCGTCATGCAGCAGTCTATAATCTACTCGACCGTGGCCTGCTGATCGACAAAGGCGCTGAACCCAAGGGGCGCTAACGCGATATCTATACCCATAGGGCGGGTGGAGCACTATATGTCGCCGAACGTGGGAGGGTCCCGCGCGGATTCCCTGCAAGAACAAGTCTCCGTGCACGCGCAAGGGTACGTAGATATTTGTCGCAAGTGAAAGCGAGGCCCGCCCCTTCTCGGCGACATATAGTCCCCTACCCATCATGGGGCGCGTAAAGCGCAGGGTTTACAACTGTCGTACCTTTCACTGTTGCTGCTACCCTTGATTCGCGCCTCTGACCTGCGACACGCGCGGCTAATGTTGGCAACATGCAGCGACAAGTTGACAGCAAGGCCAGGAACCAAAAAGTCTTGCCAACATGTTGTTGCATGTTTCAAACATGTTGTTCCATGTTGCCAACATATCAGATATGCTGCCGCAGGTCAAAGATGCAGACCAAGAGTAGCAGCAACTGTGGGGGGAACGGTATCCCTCGCGTGACGCGTTTGCGACCGCTTAACACGTTTCGGACCGCGAAATCGCGCGCGGCGAAAAAGAGTGCACTTTCGGCCCTTGGCATACAAAGGGACCTTATTTCGCAGCCTGTGGGCCACATTTGTAATCAGCATGTCAGATAAGCTCCATACCCAAAGTTCTGAATGAATTCGAAGTGTTTGAATTTTGTCGCTTGAGAGGGACTTTTGTGCTTTCTTGAAAGATAGGAGAAAGAACTCAGTTTCAAATGGTATTCAAAAGTATCTACCGTTTGCACCCCAAAGAGGTTCCCATGTGAACCAGCGTGCGTACGTGGTGCGACGCTGCCTTTCGGTCTTTTTGACACGTTTCTCCTGAGATTTCAACGGAAGTGCCCGAGGTTAACACGTTCAAAAGTGCGAAAGGCAGCGAGATGACGTGGTACCTACGGGAACCTCTCTGGGGCGCAGACGATACATTGTGCACGGTACACATCATTATTGAAACTACGGTTTTTCTCTTTGGAACTGAAGCAAAGAAAAGTTGCGACGTCGCATGCGTCGTTCGCGTTGCCGCACTTCCTTGCAACCTTTCTTTGATTTGTCCTTATATCTCGTAGACAAATATCGGCGGCATAACTCTACAGAATCATTTAAAAAGTAAGAGCTTAGACCTTTGACTTAATAACTTCGGACTTAAAGAAAACCTCCTGCAAAAGTCAGAAAGAACCTTCCAAGCAGCGTGCTGCACCATGTGCAGCACCGGTCCGAAACGTGTTAACTGAAGTTGCTTTTTGCGCCATCGTCCAGCAATGAACTTTAGCTTAGGCTCTTCGTATAGAAGACGCATACAAGTGACTTCGCTCACTCTTGTGGGCACTTGAATCTGTTCCCTTTCCCTTTTTTCATTTCACCAGACTTCATGTAGCGAACTCTATAAATAACTAGCTGATCTGCCCGGTCCAGCCCGGGAATGATCACTGATCGGGAATGAAGATAAGGTATTCGGTGGCGTTGTAGAAACTGTGTAAAGAACAAAAACAAATTGTGAACACTTATTAGTCGGTAGCATATCTCTCTTTCTCCAAATCAAGTTCAACACGCAAAACCTAGGCAAGCAGCGCGAGTTAATTGATAGCAGCGCTCATTGTTATTATGAGGATCATTTTTTGTGACACTTTGCCGTTAACCGGCTACTTCATCTTCATTCACTGCTTGCCGTCAATTTTTGTGGAGTCGGCAGTACTTTGCACTCGCGCACTTTCCTGGTCCAAGGGATCAACTATAGCGAATGTGAGTTGTCGCTTGTCTTGACATTATTTCTGGTATTGACAAATAATTTGTGCGCAATCTCATGAAAAATTTTGACCCCTCATTGTTTAAATTGAGCATGTAACGAAGAAAGCATTGATTATAAGCGTAAATTGAGCACGCTTCCGTACAAAACACTCGCTACAAAGCACTCATGGTCTCTTGCACGCTAAGGTTTCCGCATAAGATACATTTAGTGCATCCATTTAAATGAGCAATTGAGACTCACATCAAGAACACTTTTCACTGCACTTCGTCAACAGAAGTTCACAATGAGACATGCCAGCCTTGTTTACATACCCCTGTTTTGATAGCAAATGATAAGAATCATTTTTATTGCAAAGTGCTGCAAATCAATAAATCGATAGAAGGACCCAACGAATCGCTGCAAAAAGTAGCCTATCATCTGCGCAAGGCTCGAAAACATATGTGTGTAAAGTTTCAGCTTAATCGGTTGAGCGGCGCGCGTTTCTATAACGCACATACCCTCCAAACTGACAATTTTTGAGTTTTATATATATATAGATTATATCAAACTGATAATTTTCCAGGGAGAACTATGTCCCTCGGTGCTTCGCCAGTACTCAGCAAAATCGTACCACCCACAAGCTGACCAGCCAGATCCAAATGCATGCCGTCTCCTTTCCTGTGACTTTAGTCGGGGTCACGCCTGTTTGTATGATTCCAGCAGATTACAACACAGCGCTCAACATGAGGTAATTCAATCTACTCTACATTACTCCATAAACATAACTCAATCAGGTCATCAACCGCTCCGTCGTGTCGCGATTGGATCCCTTCCATAGCATATCCATACTTGAGTCACCGATCTTCCATTTGAATACTATCTCACGCCTACACTTCAACTACGCTATTGAAGTGAGCTTAACTCGAAGTTAATCTCTAGATAACAAAGATAAAGAAACTTTCAGGGTGATGCGGTTCTATTTGTTTGTAATGACAGCGCCAACAAAGAACTGGAAAGTTGCTTCAAAGTAGAAGGACGGGAAGGAGAAGACTACATTGAGATGCTACCAAGTGACACGAAGGTAGCTGTTAAAAAAATCTTTTGTAAAAGGGACAATTCTTGAAAAAAAAATAACAACAGCAACTCTGCCACCAGTTGTTAAAAAATCTGACGAAAAATTAACCAACGGAAACTTGTAGTACTCATAAAAAAAATGGGAAAGTTGGGATTTTAAGCCAGACTACAGTTAAATGAGCACATTATATACTTACAGGTCTATTTGATAGCAAAACTGGCAGAAGAGGGTTCCTCTTCCAATCGACGATACGGCAAATTGACAATAAACAGTCTTCAACTTACGGATACGTCAGATATCAGCGCTTGCTAATCAAAATCTGTAAAGTATCCAATTCAGAACATAGGGATATCTCATATCTTCCATACGATTGTGATACTCAGAGACCCATTGCTCTTTCATTCATATTTCTCTGCGATGATGCACATCTTTCCTACATTGTCATGCTCACTTTTTCTTTACTTTCGATTTGGCTCAAGTTGAAATAATTTACTCGTACCTTCTGCAAGTGCAAAGAATACGATTACAGGTGTTGTCATTTCTTTACGTGAACAGTATTGTAAAATAAATTATTAAAACTTCATGAACAACCATATTTAAGTTCCACTAAGAACAACAAAGACACCGGCATCAGAGTGCCAAGCACGGACAAGTACGAAATCAGGTGACTCAATCACCTAACATGGAAGACAGCTAGCAGTAAAAAGGGCGTGTACTTAGCGATGTTGGAAGCCCGACACGATTGCGTGCAAGTTACTGAAAGGTACTAAAACTCGCCAGCAAAGATGCATACCCATTTGTGAAATTAAGAAACGACGAATAAGCAAATGGAACCGAATGCAGCCGAACTGCAGCTGAAAATGATCGGAGAGTTGATTAGTCACACGTACTTGAAGTTTAGGGAAGATGGTAAAGCACGAGGCAAGTGAAAACAGTGACTCTATAGCACGTATCGAATGTAGGGAACTTCGACGTCCTCATCGGTGTTCGGATCCGTAGCCATCACTTCCAAGACTAACGAACGTTGATGTTTTGGTACCTCTCGCTTCGATACGTCTTCTACCACAGACTTTATGCTAAAAGTCAACGTGACCATTGAAAACGATTACATGACCAACGACAATAGCAAACTTACTCCATAGGCATGCGATGAGCGCGTTTTTTAGCATCCATGAAGAAAGAGTAGATAAGCGAAACACCAGATGAAAGCATTGTTACTTCAAGACCGGTCTCATTCTATAACGTGAAAACATTGGGTCCACAAAAGTAAATGGATTCTTAGTACTCCTCTCCTAATGGCGTATTAGGAGCGTAGTGTTCGTCTACTATGCCACATTCCAAAATAAATCTCAAGAATAAATCAAACTGTACATGTTTACGAATGAAAGTGATAGTAGAAGATGGCATTCACCTGGATCCAGTCTACAGCTTCTTGTAGCGACTTTGGTCCTTGAATCTCCAATCGGTCCCAAAGTGTGAAGCTGGTGTCGTTGTACTTAAAATCGAAAATTGAAATCTCACAAGGGAAGGATACCAACAAGATCTGGACAACCGAAAAGACAGTAGACGCGTCTTCAAACGCTGACGCTGTTTCCAAATCTGCCTTCCGTTTCTGCGGAACACCTCTCCCAAAGAAATTATGAGCGCTTGAAAGCCTAAATTTGTGCAACCTTAAGTGGCACTATTAGCGAAAAGCTGCACCTATGCGGATATCCACTGGCTATTCCTTCCTTGCAGTTAATGTACTTTTTACCCACTTTCAGGTAACTTGGTACAGCATTTCGCTAGTTCCGAAATTGATTTGGACTTTGAAACGCCCTTTACTTATTTCAGAGAGTTGTTTTGCAGAAAATGAAAAGCATATTAGGAATCAGCGTTTGAAGATGCGTCTACTGATATACATCTCTTTTCGATTTGCCAAATCATGTTGGTATCCCCTCCCAGCTTAATTTGTGTTAACAATTGGAAACAACAAAAAAGACCGACCTTCTTGACTTGAGCTGCAATGGGTTCAGAAAAACCGAAGAATGGTAAGGCAAGATTGATGAAGCCGTTCTTGAAACGCGTCATAGGTGTCTTCGGCAAACCTTTGGATGCGATCATCTACAAAGTGAAGTTTATCAAAAAATGCTGAAAAACAGTTCACAATGCTTTACCTTATACAGTTCGATGCAGATCAAACCAGCTACAGTCGCTGTAGTCGTGGCAATGGCAGGAATGATACGACCAGCAATTTGCTTTGTCTTAACGAAACAATAAGCGTTTTCCTCAATGATATTAGAGAAACCAAACCTTCATTCGGTCTGCTGGAGGAATTGAGTAGTTTTCAGCACGCAAGTTAGACGCCGCAGTGATAAGTTCCATATGATGGTTAGTGTCGTCATCCTAAAAATGAAAAAAGTTGATGTATATGTGAATGTTCCATGAACACACGTTTTATCAGACATTTGTCGCAGCGGCCCGGTTGCCCAAATGGGCTTCGCTGAACCGCGGCACCTATATCCCAGCGTTAAATGCATCAGGCCCAGCGGCGGCCCAGAGTTGTGAGCCGTGAAAAGGTGGCCCGCATGCCTATATGGGCTCACGATTTTACCTGCGACCCCGCATTACAGGCGCATGGTGAGATTAACGGCGGGACGCTCTTCCACATGAATTTAACACGTTGTAGGCGCAAAGGTTACTCGCATGAGATATGCCACAGTGGTAGGGTTGCCATCTGAGCTTGCGTGAGGACTAACACCTTGCCTTTGGATAACAAAGTAGAAGTTCTCTTGTGAGATGACCGTTGATAGGGTCTTAAAAATTCCCGTAGAATCGACTGTTGATCTGAATGGGACGGGTTTCACTATTTTTGATTTTACTTGGGTTGTATCCAGATTCGACGTAACCCTCGTATGCGATTGAGTGAAACTCGTCCCTGGAACGACCCTGCTATGCTAGAGCGGGCCAAGGGACACTGACACACATGCTGGCCCGCTCGTCCGGATGCAGGGTCGCTGCACATACCGCAACAACCATTGCTGGGCCGATTAGCATGACAGGGCCAGTCCCGGAATGGGTTTTCGCCCAGCCTCCCATGGACGCGAGGGTCGCCACAGAAAATGTCGGAGTTATGAGCGAGTTACAATTACAATTACAGCGAAATTTACAAAAAAAAAAAAAGATGAAGAGATGCTATACTCGGTAACTCGAAATTTTGGCACGGAAGTCTGCACTAGTAGCATACGATGAACAAGCGAAGACATGCGAAAAGAACGAACATCTAGAAAAATCTACACAATAATGAAAAAAATACCTTTTCGAAGTCAATGGGATTTAGCTTGTGAATCGCTTTAGTATTCAGCCGTGCCAGTTTCACTTTCAGCTGTTCGAGATGGGTGTCAGCGTTAGCTGAAATCGAACCATCTGATCCTCTTATGAGACAGGAAAAAAACGCAAAAGAGTGCTTTTATGGTAAAATAACTAACCGTCATCGGTTTCTGCATTTTCTTTTGCTTCGGCTAACTTACCATCCTCAGTTTCTGCGTTTTCTTTTGCTTCGGCATCAGTGACCGCAATTTTCACGCCAGCGCGAGGTTTAAATGGTGGAGGCTGCACAGATGAGGCTATTTTCATTACGAGATCAACATCGAGAATCGGCTTAAGGCCGTAAACTTCAGCTCGCAAAATTGATGCGGCATATACGAAGTTACGATGTTCTTCCTAAATAAAGAGCTTGCAGCATGAAAAGACCTTTGCATAAGTCAGAAAAAACTGCAAACATTCACACCTGGGTAGGATCGAATTCCAGCACATGCGGACAACGTTTGGTGCCAGACCAGAACTTTGCACCTTGATCTGTCACCTGATCAGGCGGAAACGAATAAAGCATTTGAGCAATGTTGTCATGGAAGTGCTCCTAAGGAATAGCTAATGAATCTAAACTGATCACGATTATGAACAGAGTTAGAGTACCTGGAATAGAAGTCGTGCCCATTTCACACAATCTTCTGCACTGGATGGCTTGGTGTCGATCAATACGTCTTTGACCTATAATTAAGCACATGAAAGGCGCCTCGGCATGGTTATCAGCTACAAAAATCGAGAATTACTCTTCATAGTTAGAAAGCAGTGGCGGTCCCAGGATTTCGGACCGGGGGGGGGGGGGCGGAAAAATTTTTTTTCAAATGAGGATGCATAGCGTTAGCCACGCACTCCGAAAAAATTCTAGGGGTACTTCTTAAAATTTTTGCGGGTCCCCAACCCCTAAAATCTGGAAAAAAGGGGCGTGGCGTCAGCCACGCCCCCGAAAAAATTTTTTTGTAAGGCTAATTTGAATTTTTAAAAATTTTTAAAAATTATTTTAATTATTTACAAAAATAAACAAGTCGTTTGCACATTTTTATAACCCATATAGGTAAGTTCCAAAAATTAAAATTTCGCGACCCATTCTCGGGGGGGGGGGCCCCCCCGTTCCCCCCCCCCTCGAACCGCCACTGTTAGAAAGCTATAGTAAAAAGCTGACGTATTTGATAAACTGCTCACCTGACTCAAAAGTTGTGTTCGCTGGTTCACATTCATCTGTTCCAAACGTTCCAAGAAAGCACGCTCATCGGTTAAGAATTGGTTTGCTGTTTCAGCGGGACGAGTGAACAGACCCAAAATGACCAATAAGCTACTGAATTTGGATCACAATGGGGTGAAAGTCAGATACTTAGGTAAAAGTTCAGTTCACAACTAGGTTGGTAAATGGAAGACATGGTAGGATGCAAGTCCAATGGCAACAACAAAAAGAAGCTGTATAAAGATTAATAAATGTGCTGTTACTAACCCACAAACAGATCTCTAGCCCACTGAATGGTATGCTGGATTTCGTTGGGGAAGTTCTTCAACGTGCAGATAGGAATTTCCTTCTCCGGCGGATCAATAGATGATCTATAACAAACCCAATTTTTGAACAAGTAAACGTGAACGTAACAGATCACATACCCATATGACTCTGTCAGGTGAGGATACACCACTTGGGTATTTCCTTTAGTCCCCATAGTACCGGATTCCAGAAGAGGAAGGCGGTAAAATACACAGCGTCTATCCATATACCGCCTGGCATCGATGTTATCCAAAGCGTTTGCAACTCCATTCAGATTTTCAAAGAACTCGTCATTAAAAATGTGTTCCGTTTCAGTCCCAACTCGCTCAGAAAGCGCTTCAATGCGAACATTTTTGTTGAAATTTTTCACAGCACGTCCAGCAACAACAGATTTTTTATCCTGAAGTAACTTTAGAACTGACATAATGCTGTATACGTTATATTGCTCACCCCGACGTCATTCATGCGGAAGAGAAACTGCCTGTTTAGGTTACTGATTTCGATCTGATCCATATCAGTTATTTTTATCAATCCTCCTTCGCCGCATGCCAAGCCCATCATAGCAAGATTTTTCAGCAATTCACAGCCAATCGCTCCTAAACTTTCACGATGCGACAAATTTCAATGAGAATACAACTGCTTACCTGCGCCTACTACAAACCACTTCTGATGGAACAATGCTTCTTGATACTTCCAACCGAAGACAGCAGCTTGTCCATCATATCGACAGTCACGCTTGAATGAAATAAATTGAAGCAAACCATAATCAGAAATTAATTGTATGCTACCGGTTTGCAATCTTCTTCGGTAAGTTTCTCATTGTCAAACTCGCTCCATTCCCCTGGTAAGGCGTCATCACTGTCAATGTATAGCCACTGTTTCAGTGGTGTCATATGATGAGTAACGGCCTTCATTGCTTCCTGAGCAGCTATTCCACCTACCACAGACGCGACAGTGACAAGATTACCAGAAGCCTTGAAAGAGGTAGATTGGGGTTTGCACGGTAGTGAATCAAAAAAGACTATGTGCAGGATAGTACAATGTTTTCTTAGAGAAAAATGAACAGATTCTACCACTAACCTGATAACTGAACATCTTCAGTAGTTTGTCATTGACTTCGGCACCATCGGGTAACTCCGCTTTCAAAAGAAGAACGTCCTCATCTGAGCGAGGGCTAGGATGGCGCCCATGCTGAAAACAACATTTTTGGTTATTTGATTTGATGTTAAAGTGTTACGATAACAAAACTGAGGTTTACATTTCACCATCGAAAGAAATATGCAGAACGCACCCCCCCCCCCACCCCTTTAACCAGCACACAACATAACTCAAGGTAAAAAATTAGGCTATACCTTGGTTTCAAAATCGTACAGCGCAGTCCAAAGAGCATGGAGCTGTGAAGGATAATCGAATTTAGCAAAATCCCAGTATACAAACTCCGGGTCCGCTAGTGATTCAGCAAGAGGCTTGTGCACAGCGTAAGTAGGCACCTATAAGTTATGGCTGGAATAGTGGAAAAAAGGGCAGGTACTACAACCTACTTTGACTTGTTTTACACGACCTCCTTCTTCATATGGCGACATGTTTTTCGCAGCATCGCCAATGTTAAATACATGTGGCTCTGAAAAGAATATCGCGATAGCGCATAAATAACAAAAAAAAAGCAGCTCAAAAGTCGCTGCCTTGCTCGTCACAACTGAGATAGCACAGAGAGTGACATACTTTTCACGGTGACTTTCACCGGGGCGCAGCCGTTCAGCTCGCTCATGCCTTTAATTTCCGAAAACGTCACATAATCACCGTCTTCCAACCCATGCATCTGATTTTCCAACGTCGTTACATCTCCTGTCTCCCCGTCAATATATTCGATAAGAAACTGCAATTAAGTTGTGTTTTGAGTAAGAAAACAAGCCTTGGAGCATTTTATAGGTACCTCTTTGACTTTCTCTCCATTCGGGTCATCAACGCGGAACGAGTTGCCAAAATCAGCGAAGATATAACTGTACAGACCGCGTGCATCAACAACCAACAAACAGCGATTGTGTGCTCTTGTCCAACCCGCTACTTTCAACTGAGTACTGCGAGGAGCATCAGTTAGAATCACAAGCTGCAAAAGTGCCGATTTATTGCAGTAAAAAAAAACAAGAAAATACAGTATGTGCTACTTACATCATACTGATTTACCAACTCCTCGCTAAGAGGGCTAGTTACCACTTGACAATGCACGCTATCGTTCAGCTCAGCGAGCCTAGAAATTATCTGCGTCAGAAAATAAAACATCATGGAAGTCACACCTTTCAAAGCTCGCTGCCGCTCGATTTCTACCGATGTCGTTCTCTTTCAAATAATATTGTGCGGATAAGTCTTCCCAGCGAGTGTTCTTCACATCCTGGATGGTAACGTTGCGGATACCTGTAGAAAAACACTATTGGATCTCACTAGGTCGGAGGTGCAATCTTCTATAGTATCTGCGATGAAGTTGTGCACTTGCTACATGATCGATGCTGCATAGAACCTATTGCCCGTTAGTTATACTAAAGTCTTTTGGATGGGAGCGAATTCACACAGCATGTTTACATACTTCAAACGAGCGCTTGCCTTTGAGCTGAAAACGAAAGATGAGAAGTGCGCGCAAATCGATTATTATCACCAAAAAGGCAAAGACATATCAAATACAGCTTTTTGCAAAGCGCAATGGTATTTATATTCATCATACAAGAATTACCTTGTTGTAGACTCAAAAGCTTACCTCCAAGAACCAAGTTTTTCGCAATCTCAACACCAACTCCTCCCAAGCCGGAAATCAAAACGGAAGCCTTTCTCAGATTCATCATGGCAGATTCGCCAAGTGCATATCTGAATACTTTGTGAATATCAAGAGTAATCTCACGGAACCAGAAAATCATACATTTGTCTTGAGTAAAGGTTTGTGTCTAAACCCGTAGTGTCGGTGTCCATCGCCTCCTGCCCATTCTTTTCGGAAGACATTCTTTTCGAATCGGAATGTGCGGAGTTTTTCACAGTAATAGCGGCCTCCTAAATAGACTCGTGAGCTTATTTTATCATTCTGCTAGACAAGTTCAATGAATCAAACACAAAAAGTCATATGTTGCACAAAAAAATACCACTTCCTTCTTAGTTCACAGCAGGGATGCCTAGAGAAAACAGACTTACAAAGAATTAGAAAGGATTAGATTTATTTATATAATTGAACAGCGATTTAAACACGCATAAACTAGTAGGTAAACTTACGAACGAACAGGAAGCTGCAAAATTTTTGTCAGATTTATTTTGTTTACCCACCGATTCGACCCCATTCCCGCAACTGATTAACGAGCATAAATCAAGGCAGCAACGTAGTCTCTGGAGCACTGTTGGGAGGGACGACATGCATCAAACATAACAAGGGAAGTTACGAAATGCAAACTCGCTCACAGGATATAGAGAGGAAACCCATAAAAAACCCATGTGTCCATAACCACTCGTTCTGATTCGACGAAGGTAAGTCGTTTTTTGAAACGTGACAAACACGCGATGAATGGCGGTATTTATAGAGCAATCGAACGAATTATTGGTTGCCAGCATGCGACGTGATTCATGTACCGCGAACCAGTGTGACTAATATCAAAAGGTCGACCACAATTAGAGCAAAGCTGAAGTACAGTAGAAAAAAGCGCTTTATGTTCGTAGATAGATGGAGAGCCTCATGTTTGTAAATGATCAAGTTACTGCGCCTGACAAGCGATAAACTCACACGGCATACGCATAGATATTAGCAAGAACTCAGCGTACTCAGCTCACAGTAAGAAAATGTTTGGAGTGCACTCACCTGCGCCAACAATGCTAGAAAACTGCGGTACATGGCATGCATTACTTCAGATTTAGCAATTGCAGTGACGACAAGATTATATTTTCGCATCCCAAATCAAAATTTAGCATCTTGAGCGCTTGAGCTTTATATCGACAGTGACGTAGTAAGCGCATAGCAACCATGTCACCAGGTAACACTGGCAAGCATGTTGAAAGCAGAATTAATTGGGGAGTTGGAAAGTCAGCAGCAGGCTAAATCAAAAGCTTGAATCCTATGATGAACTCAGAATTTGGCAAGGAAACCTTTCACAACCATTTGCGAAAAATGTAAAATGATAATTTCCGCTAATGATGAAAAGGCGAACTTCGCAATCATCTGCAAAAAAAAATATGAATTAACATCCGCAAATGGTTGAACGAACTTTCCCAAAAGTACGAAGGTGCGAACCTGGGAGTAACTACAAGAAAATAGGGGCTGGCTATCAGAGATAGTCAGAGATAGCGAAGCAGTGGCGGTTCCAGGAACCGTTGCTAGAAATGAGGGGGGGGGGGGGGTGAAGGAGGACGATCTCCGCGGGTGTGAAGATATCAGATACGCATGTACAGACGATATTATGGAAATTCTCAATCAGTTGTGATTTTGAAAACGAGTTACCAAAACAATAACCACGCTCCCTCTTTCGAACTGCCTATTAAAGGAGCAGAATTATCATATGACGTTTCAGTTTTTCATTGGAAAAGATTAAAAAAATAGCAAAGGCCGCTTTCGCGCGTGATTCATGGAGCTTTCGCCGCTCTGAGAAAAGGTTCACTGCTGACACATTTTCTGCAGCAGCATCAATGACCCTCCATAATAGCCAGACAGAGCGCAGACAAGCTGACAACCTACGAATCCTAGGCCTTGCATAGATGAAAGGAAACAGAATTATTGCTCAACGGCTTTCATAACTTTTGAATCTGATTGTAGGCTGAGACAGAAAAGAAGAAAACCTATGCTTGCGAACTAAGTGACTCACGAGTAGCAAAAAAATGATGTTCAAGGACGGAAGGACGAAACATTTCCTGTTATGATAGCCTAGGATTCAGTATCGGAAATGTGACTAAGCAAGTTTATCAGAAATCGAAAGCGATCTGGCGAACTGAGTAAGAGCTACTGAGCCAAAAAATTCTACAAATCGATGTGACGCCTACTTATGCATTCAAAATAGACTCAATAATCATGGCGTTCCAGATACAGAAAATAGTCTAAAGGCCTCTGATTCAGTGTCAATGTAGGTGGCCTCGCACAAAAAAGAAAACAACTAGTCCGACAACATTAACCTCTTTTAAGAAATCCGCAGTAACTGATCTGATTTCCGAAGAGTAAAAACAAAACTTAGCAAAAGATAAAAAAGAAGACAAGACCTCTCTTTTAACTCTAAGTCAATTCCTACGTAGAGCATATAGAAAGATTGCGGCAATGTTGATTTGTACTTTTAGAGAGGACTATACCATACACAGCTACTTGAGATATATACATCAGAGCTCAAACACAGACTTGAAGAATGCTCACACGCAGCTCCAAAAGAACATCAATAATACCTTTTGATTGTCACTCAGTTCAACCACGCGAGCCTTCTTCGTAGGCGGAGATGAAGCGGACACGTCTGTAGAGGATAGCTCGGCCAGAATGGTACTCATAAATATCCTCAAACTCTGTAAGTATATATCCTCAAACTCTGCAAGTATATTCAACAGAATCATCCCGCCATGTGAAATTAAATGACTTAACAAAATACAGACAGTCTCTCCTCCCCCCCCCCCCCCTCACCCTCGTCAGTGATCGACGATACCCTCATCAGAAGACACACGGCTTTCAGAACAACAACTGACTTAATGAGGGAGGTCATAGTTTATGAGAATCAGATTGATAACAGCTGTCTTTGCTTGTTCGTTCAGTCTATGTATAAACAGTAGCTTTACCACAGATGATCGAGATTTCGAGATGAACTTTCCTAGGGCTTCGAACATACTTCACGCGATTTCAGATGGGAGCGGTGTGGCAAATTCCAGATGTCTCTAGATAAAACACTTGCAAACGAATGATTTTGTAGTTCGATATTTAGAATACGCTTACGAAGTGCCAAACAACTGGAGCATTGGCTAATCGAGCGGCGACGGAAATCGCGTGAAGTATGCCCGGGCCTTTAAGAAGTGTACTCGACGGTCCCGGAAAGAGGGTGGGGGGGGGGGGGGTGAGAGAGGAAGATATTTTCAACATTTGCAAGATAGAGCTTCTGGCAGCGTTGCTATTATTCGTGAGCGTGCTCATCTTAATGATACTTCATTTTCCCCAGCATGCTGAGAATCCATCCACAGTCAAAAGAGCCGTCTAGAATGTCTGCCACGAATAAACACGAATTCGTAACCTTCTTGCTTTTCAACAACCCAATGAAAGAATCCAGGTTAAACACAGATAATGTGATAATTGTTCTCAAAGAAGAGAAATATAAAAAGCTGCGATCAGTACATTCGCGCATTGTCTTTGCAATGATGCGAAAAAGACAAAAGACGCGCGGCCCAGTATACAGTGGCAACGTAAGCGAAAAGTGTAACTTACGGGATCACGTCTTCAACCAGCGAGATCACACGAGCTCACTGTCTGGTTGGATGAATATCAACTTTCTCCCAAAACGTTCGTAGGATTCACACCACGTCGCGTGGTACCTGCAACCTTTTGTTTCGCAATCAGATCAGTTCAAAACACTCTATTACAACATTTCGAGACATCGCAATAAGCAGATGTCGCTGAATTCCACTTCTTCCCAGAAAAACTTCTGTAATTGACAAGAAGAAGAAAGAAAGTGGATACAGATAAGAAGTTACGACTCATATCTGAAGAAAACGGACCGCTGATTCAGCCTAGTGGACTTCACACGGCCGTAAATTTTCAAGAGAGCGAGATCATAACGAAAATGGCTCCGTCATCAAAAAGGGGAACATTCGAGACGCATGCGATGGACGAAAATCCGGAAGCGATGGATGACATCACAAATTCGCGCTGGAGCACGCTATTGCGTAGCCACAGCTGCTATTTCTTGCGCCATTTTTTGTTAATACCAGCTCTTATTAGAATGGAGCCCAGGTGCAGGCGAATTAAAACTCAAATAGCAGCTTCTGACATTGAGACACGAAGTGGGAAACCCAGTGAAGTGCTAAAGCGGGCCGCCAATTTGGACCTTCGATGTTACGCTGACTTGCACTGAAAAATTTGAAACAATGTTGGCAATGGCTCTCATGACTTCCAAAGTATGTAAATTCTTCTCTTCAAAATGCGAAATCATGTAGTTTTCTGCCTATCTCCTTCTAGGTCGATAAAGTTGCTGCAGCCAGATTTGCTGGTCCACCATGCGTTCATAGATTACTTCGACAAAACTGAAATTTCCTTGCTATCAGGAAAATTATCAGGAAACTTTGGCATTATTTGAAAAAATATTTTCTACCTCTTTTACCTGGAATGTTATCATATCATATAGTGAATATAGTTTCATTGCTTCTCATTTGGTCGTTTTGAAGGATGTGTCATTCGACTTTAGCGAGAAGGAAATAAACGAAGAGGAGATAAATAAATGACATTGCCATACTCTAGCAAAGTAAAAACATCGATCTCGGTAACCATAATCCGTTTCTGCAGCTGATTGTTAGGTGAAAAAACAACAACTCGTGAAGAATGTCGTTTCACAGAAAATATCCCCTTTACCATTCCCACAAAAAGAAACCCGGCTCCAGATCGGAGATATTGTGTTACATAGAAGATTGTATAGGCCGTCCGCGCTGCGCACGGAGAGCAACGCTGTTGCGTACACTGAAGGCAGTTCACGACAGGAAGAAGCTCAGAGAAAAACAGGCGGCGAGAGTGCACGGGGAAAGAGGAGTGACGCGCAATACACCTTGCGCACTCTCCGCGCCCTGCGGGGACGGCCTATACCGTTATATTTATGCATCATAAAATATTTTTGATGAAAAAATGCAGTAGGGTTTCTTTTCCTGCAAAATGACATTTTTCATGCGTCATTTTGCAATTTTCTGCGAGATTGAAGCCAGGGCCAGGCGCGAGTCTGTTTCCAGAGTTTTTGGAAGGATGCAGGATGAATCTGTCTTCGTGCTTCACTATAGATTTTTGACCAGAGAGGTTCGTCCATGATAGAAATAACTACAATTATGTGAACTTATAGAAATATATGCTTCAGAATGAGTCGTCCTGGTGGCCTCCTGAAGGAGGATGAATTGCCTATCTTCGCCTTGCAGCTGAATTGCTCATGCGGTAACTTGTTTCTGGAGCGTGTTGTGTTCGCTTTTTTCGTGCATATCATGTTTTACGATACTATGACAGGCTAGCCCCTTTGCTTTTTTTCCCAAAAACGAAATCCAGCTTGCCTTCAATACCTTTGTGTCAAGTTCTGGAAGCCTGTCACAGTAGGGTATGGACAGCTGTAAGAAAGCTCTGCAGATTTTCAAGGCAAGGTAGTGACTTTGCGCAATTTTCTGGCACCAATTAAAGTGCAATATTTAATACGCCTTTGAAAGCATTCTTGGCGGCTAGCTCATAGGAAATTAAGCTTGAACATCATAGAACGTCATAGAGCGCAAACCTTCTGCTTTTGTTAAACAAAGTACGAATTTAGGTCTACCATTTAAAAGGGTACTATTGGACATTAGTTGACCCAAAAAATGAAAATCGTTTCGCTACTTCGTCTGCGGGGGGGGGGGGGGGGGGGTGGAGGGAGGGTTATTTGGTATGCTCAACACGAATATAGTGTTTATTTCGTGCGACAGCGCCATCCGGTGGAGTCACGGTAGGATTACGGGAAGGGGTCAAAATCACGATTTGCCCGAAACTTCGTCTAGAGGGATTATTCGGTCCGCTGATGCCAAATATCACATTGGTTTTGTACCATAGCGTCAATTTCTCGGGTTACGGTAGCTACACGGTAACGGATGTAAAACATAGTTCTGCCTGAAACGGGTGTACGGTTCGATTCGGACGATCGTGAGCTTTGCACACACGACCACCGCCGCGCGCTACACACCCTGCTTTTGCTTTTGCCTAAGCAAAGCACAAGGGAAAGATACATTTGCCGATTTGTGATTTTTACCCCTACCGTAAACCTACCGTAACCATGCAGGGAGACGTTTTCTTGCGGAGAAAGTATGACATTTCTAATCAGCATGTCGAATAACCCCTCTGTGCGAAGTTACAGCGGATTTTGAGGTTTTGACCCTTACCGTATACCTACCATAACCTGAGAAAATGACGCTACGGTACAAAACCAATATGATATTCGGCATCAGCGGGCCGAATAACCCCTCTGGGCCAAGTTTCGGGCAAATCCGTGATTTTGACCCCCTACCGTAACTCCACCGAATGGCGCTGTCGCAAGAAATAAACATCATATTCGTGTTCAGCGTACCAGATAACCTCCCTAGACGAAGTTTCAGCGAAATTCACGATTTTCATTTTTTGGGTCAACTAATGTGGAATAGCGCCTTTAAAAATTGTTAAATTTTGTTCGAATTAAGCAAGAATCTTTGCTCCAACTTGATGCATAGAATCGTAACGCGCATACCCCCACAATGCCTTCCTCTACGTGGCATGAGGTGACACTCGGTGTCGAATTGCAATGTATAAGCTCCTGCAAGACGAAGGCGGTCGGTTCGAGGTACGACGTGGCTGTGACGCGGCTGTGACTCGGCTGTGACGCAGCCGTGTCGCAGCCGCGTTGCGCATTGAATCGACCGTCTTCGTCTTGCAGGAGCTTATACAGCTGAGTGTATGCTCTGCCAGGGTCTCTCAAGCAAAGGTGCGCTTGGAGCCCCCGCCCCTCCCGCTCCTCCCCCCCCCCAAAAGTGAAGGTGGTCCCGGCTGCCACTGACTGGCAGAAGTGAAGGTGGTAGAACGAGAACGAGAATTTTAAAATAAATTACGCGATTTCAGGTTGCTTAGTGACAGATGACATTTAAACTCCTATAAGTTTGGAAAGTGAAGGTGTGCGATGTTGCGACTTCATAGGTCTGATTCTCCTCCTCAAAAGCTTTCAGGTGATATATAATAAGTGAAGGTTTCGCGCCTCCCACGGTATCGTCGTCTTCCCGGCGTACGTTGGGCGGAGCTTTCGTGGACATTTCAGCACGTTGGTGAACTTGTTAACCCTCTACTGCAAGGCATTGTTTTTTGTGATCTCTCGCTACCAGCTCTGCCACGTGTGACAACAGCATATATACGTGGCAAATTAGAGAGTACAAAGAACCATACTTTGCAGTAGAGGCTTGACAAGTTCACCAACGTGTTGAAATGTCCGCAAAAGCTCCGCCCAACGTACGTCGGGGAGACGACGATATATGCCCGGGGGTGGAGACTTCTCATCACAAAGTCTCCACTGGCAACCTCCAGCCAATGCATTGAAATGGGCGAGGTGGAGACTTTGTGATGAAAAGTCTCCACCCCCGGGTTAGAGCCGCAAAAATCATTGAACCCTCCAAATATTATTTATCATCTGAAAGCTCATGAAGAGGAGAATCCAACCTATGAAGTCGCAGCGTGATTCATGCAGTTCTGGAAGTTATGAGCCGTCGAAACTTAAAAAGCGACTTTTCATCGGCTTTTTCAGGAGCCGCTCTCGATGATGCTTGAATGGATCAGTGCAGCTAAGACATATTTTGATAGGGCAAACCTTATTCTACAGACACTATGAAGTCGCAACATCGCACACCTTCACTTTTCAGATTTATAGGAGTTCAAATGTCATCTGTCATTAAGCAACTAAAATCGCGTAATTTTTTAAAATTCTCGTACTCGGCTGCCACTGCTAATGTCGAACCTGATTTTTCCACTATTTGGTAGAACAACACTTATCCTTTGAAACTATAGTCGCAGTTGCTGACATCTTCAACCACTCCATTTGTAACAGTGGGAATTTCGCATGATTTTTCGTTATTTTATCATTTGAAATTCTGGATGTCGGCGATTACTGCCTGGATCGACTTGCTTTCTTCGCGGCACGTTGTAAGTTACTTAATAAAATACGTGAAGTCTAGATGAGTTTCACTTACAGAGACACCATTTGTTTAATACGTCTATTCAAATATTCATGCCGCTGTACTCATCGTATTCGTGGTCCTAAAAAGGGTCGTTGGGTCACAGCCATTGGCCCTAGAGGGGACCGTTGGGTTAGAGCTCTTCAAGTATCCGAAGTCATCATGAAGCTTAGGTCTCCAAAATCGTAGGAGTGCTGAGGCGTAGATGCGTCCATGTCGGTCATGGCCTTCAGGTGCTCGCAACAGGCGATAGCGAGTGTCTAAAATGAACTTAGATGTATGCTAATACTTTCTTTTGCGTTCGTTTTGCTTATTTTCCTCTTTTTAGCTTCAGCAAAAAAATTTCAAAACCCAAAAGTGATGATGGTCACCCTGTACCAGCTCAAAAGTGAAGGTGGGTGGAGAATCGGCTCCTATCGCGCCTCTGATCCCAAGTGTTACGGAAATCGAAGTTTCCGATTTTAGCCGAATGCTTAGCTAAGAGCAGAGCGGCCGATCCATCGCCGTTCGGCTTTTCTGATCGTTGGGGGTTCCAGCTCTACACCCGGGGTCAGCGATCGCCGTAGAATTCAAAGGCCTAGCAAGTTTGCTCTCCTATAAAGGAAAAATTTCAGTGCTCGTTCAGCAGGAGGAAGAGAAAGCCTACCCATTGCCCTTCCACGGGGCCGGATAGTGACAAGAACGATGCCAAGGTCTTCAGGGCGTTATTTGGATCGGATGAAAAAGGCACGCTTAGGATGACACGCCATGGAGACTGCCTTATGCTCTGCAACTACAATGCCGGGACAGTCCTTACGGATACCGACCTCCACGCTGCTTGGCAGGCCATATCAAGCGCCACATCATCGCTCTGCAAGAAACGAAGATCAGGAAGAAGGAGGCGCAACAGATGGGTGATGGGACCATCATCATTAGTGGTGAGAAACTTCCACCACAAAATGTTGAGGGCGTTGACTTTGTCGTCTACCCATCTATCTCCATCTTGTCGATTTGCATGAGATCCTATAATCTCGACCAGCCATTCTACGACTAGGAGCTTCACATGAAAAGGCCGTAACATCCATCAACTATTTCTTAATATCAGCAGCTGAGGACTCAGGGCTAGATGCTTTCTACGAAAATGTTGAGGTCGTCCGCGACAAGAAGTCCTTCTGCAAACTTGTTGTGGGCGACTCCAGTGCGAAAATGGGGATGCAATTAGAAGAGGAATATAGGATCGGGAAGTTTGGATATGTTCTCCGGAATGAAAACGGCAACCGTCTTGTTGGGCTTCTCTCCGCCGCACGACTCTTCCATGGAATTTCCATCTTCATAAAGAAGGAACATCGCCGGTGGACATAGGAATCGCCCAACGGAAAGACTCACGCGGAGATCGACCACATTCTCACCAACTGAAAGTGGAGCTTGCTCGATGTCTCAGCAGTTCCATCCTTCTGCAGTGGCTGCGATCACCGCC